CTGCTTGGCCTGCTGTGTTCATCCAGCTCTACACCTTGTTATCTCAGATTTGAGAATCTTACAGTTTGTCTGGATTAAATTGATAGCTGCAGAGTGACTGAGCTTACTGACCATGACATCACATTACAGGAAACCATTCAGGTGGCGAGAAGTAAGAAGGAATGTAGTGGTAATAGGGATAATATACTATGAGGGGGATTGACACTATTCTGCAGCAAAGACCATGAGTCCAGGCAACTATATTGCCTGCCCCATGACAGGGCTCAGGATACCTGCTTAGGGTTAGGGCGGAACTTGCAATGGGAGGGATAGAATCCTGTCGTCATAGTCTGTATAGATACAAATAACATTGGCAGGATAAAAAAATAGAGATTCCACATAGTATGAAGTGCTAGGTGCCCATTAAGATGCAGAATCTCAAAAATCATCATTTCTGTATTATTACCAGAGTCATGTGTAAATTAAGCAAATGAGTTTAGAGAGATTAATTGAGTGGCTCAGAGACATTTGAGTTATTACAATCAACCTTACAAATGAACATACAAATTTAGAGAAGGAGCAAGCCATTCTGCCCCTTCAGGATGCTCTGCCATTCACAAAGACGATGGTTGATCTAACTGTAACGTCAAATTCATGCCTATTCCCAAAAAACTTCCACTCACTTGCTTTACGTGAACTTATCTACTTCTGCCTTAAAAATATTCAAAAATACTTTGCTTCAATTGTCTTTCCAGGAAAATTTGATCCTGTTGTGGACTTTGTGATCTAAGGGCGTCCTCACAGTTAGGTAATTAATTCATTCTATCTCATTTATCATTCCAGGTCTAGTGTAGATTGCTCCCTGATTGGTTTCAGAACATGCTGTTCTAAGGAACTATCCCAAAAGCTCACCGATAAACTACTTATCTGGGCTGACTTTGCCCATCTGACATTTCCAATCTATATGTAATTTAAATCCCCTATGCTTATCACTGTGCCTTCCTGACAAGCTCTCAATAGTTCTTCCTTAATTTTTCATCCCTAGCTTGTTATTACTATTAGACGCCCTGTACAGTGCTCCTACAAGGGACTTCTACTTATCATTAACTAACAAAGCCACACATCCAGTTTTCCTGCTTCCCCGTTGTACCTAATTATTTTGTACTCTTCAAGATTCATAACCAACTCTAAGTCATCATGCAGCTATCTCTAAAGGCTATCAGACTGTATTTACTAATTTCCTCTCACCTACATTTCTTACTTTTACTTACACTCTCTGGTCTGTTTTGTTTCAAACACTGCATGAATTTAGATACAGAATCCTCAATTTCATCATTTTATTCTCATTTTTAACATTCTAGTCTTATCTTTTCATTAATTTTTGGATTCATGCCCATTCTTTGGCAATGTTCTGTTTATAATTTCTTGCATTAATACTTTTCTCTTTGGCCTTAACTCTACCGTTTAATATATCACATAACCCCAAATTTGACCCTTGCCCCACTATTTCATTTTAAATCCTCTCTACCTCCCAGTTATATGACCAGCAATTATGCTCATCCCTAGAATGATTTGGGTGGGGGTTGCAATTTTCTCGCTACTCAGTGAACTGGAGCATATTTCTCCCAAAAAATGCAGCAAGTGGAGCATATGAGTTTCAGGGTATGCCGATGGCTTGGGGGGACACCATTTGAGTGTACGCAGTTGCATAGCCTGTTCAGGATATGTCCTGAATGAGAAGGGCTTTAAGTTAGTCCACAGCAAAACCCCAAAACAAAGCCAAGCCTTGGCCAAACAGTCAACATTTTCTTCAGGATCCGGGCCAGCTGGCCATTGCCATAATGCGGACACGAGACAGCAAAGAGGTCCCACTAGGCCTGAATTGAGTAAGAAAACTCATAGGCCAGTATCCAGGATAGTGCACACCCTGGAAAATCCATCTACATCTGGCTTGGAACAGTTAAATTGCTCAACAAAATCCAAATCAGAACCATTTAAAATAAAGGCCAGGTTAAATGATCACCTGGTTCTAATGGAGGGTGATACTGATATAGTTGTATTAGCGATTGCAGAACCAGTCTTTAAAAAACATTTGCACTGAACTCCAACTGTTACATTTGTATAAGACCTCAGCCAGACTGAGAACCTATATCAGGGAACATTTACAGATTAAGGGTACAAATTCGGTTCTGGTCTTGTATGAGAAATAGCTGGTTCAGTCACCACTGATCGTGGTAAATGACTCGGGCCCAAGCCTGATAGGTTGAAATTGGGTGAGAAAGATTCACCGAGATTGATTCAACATTTTTTTGATTTAAAAGGCTGCCTGAGTGAAGTCCTAATTAAATACCTGGACGTTTTCAGGAAGGTCTAGGGTCTATGAAAGGAGACAGGCCACCTTGCATATTGACCAGGAAACAATTCCACAATTCTGCAAGGTCTTCCCTTATGCCTTACGGGCAAAAGTAGAGGCAGAAATTGGGAGGCTGGGAAGCGAAAGCATCATCAAACCAGTTTGACCATCAAACCAAGTCCAGTTTGTGGAACGGGCAGCACTGGTCATACCAGTTGTGGAACCCGATGGGTCAGTTTGCCTTTGTGGTGATTTTAAACAAAGGATAAACTGCTATTTGCAGCTGGATAAATATCCAATCTCTTGCATAGAGGATTTATACGCAAAACTGGCAGGGGGGGTGCTGTCCTTCATGAAGCTAGACATGAACCATGTGTATCTGCAATTGCAGTTAGATGAGGAATCCCAGAAGTATGCTACAATTAATACCCATAAGGTTTTGTACCAATATACAAGCCTACCTTTTGGGGTATCTTCTGCCTGTGCTATTTTTCAGCGGACAATGGGGAATATTTAACAGGCTCTATCCCAGATTGCCATTTATCAGAATGACATGCTAATAACAGGGAAGACCAATAAGGAGCACCTAGAGAACTTGCACATAGTCCTTAGACATTTCTCCAAGGCGAGTGTGCACCTTAGAAAGGAAAAATGTGTGTTCTGTGCACCCCAAGTGACCTACTTGGGCTGCAGAGTCAACAAGACTGGGTTACATTCATTGAAAGATAAAGTGAGGGTGATCAAAGATGCCCTGGCTCCCACGTCTATTCCAGAGCTTAGGTCTTTCCTTGTCGCCTAAAGCTGTAATTCAACCCAGGTCCCTGCCGCTACGAGACAGCAGTGCTAACCATTGAGCCACCCTGGTGCCATGTTCCTGTCAAGCTTAATAGTGGATAAATTGACATTTTTGTACTTTACTGTTGTCATTTAAAAGATCACCAGAATACAAAAGTTACTGAAATATGAAACATATAATAATACAGAAACATCTATAAATCTGCATACTATATGTAAAGCTAAGGTCACCATAGTTTTACCAGAGCATAGGGCAAGTTTCTTATTAGAAAGTTGTGATTTTTTCCTGAGGCTTACCATGCATCAGGCAAGGAGAGAGGTTGAGAAGGACAATCCTTCACGCTAACCTCAGCTGGTGTGGGAATTGAACACATGTTGTTGGTGTCACTCTGCATTGCAAATCAGCTGTGATGTAACTCAAATCACACATAGAAAATCCATGATGTTACACTGAAGGTCTCATTGCTAAGTACAGCTTTTATTTTATTCATTATATCACCTCTTCTTCAATTAACAAACTGTGTTCAAAAAGTATTGTACCACATAATCACAAATTTCATAAAAATGTACAGAGGAAAAATTCTATATTATATGAATGAAATGAATACGAACAAAGTAAATTCATTTGACCTTCATGATGATTTCTAAATGACAATTTTGTTTTGATATAATTCCATTCATAGTAATATATTCCTAATCTTTAAACCAAAGCCACTTATCCAGAAGTTTAAGCAATTATTCAAAAGAATTTTAAATTCACAAAAGGAGATTTTTATATTACGACAAAAGATGATTTTTACAGTAATATACAGCAATCTTATGCTTATAACTGTAGTTGCAATTTACATATAACTATATTGTTAAATCTAATTACATTTACTATGAATAAAATTCAAATTCTTTTCTAATATGCTTCAAGTATTTTATTTCACTTTCCTCAATGTTTTTGAGTTCACTGAGCATTTCACATAGATGGACAAAGCATTTAGAATTTCTTTGAAGGTGAGCAAGACAATTATTTTCCTTTTCTATTTTTTCTCATTGCTTGTGGAAGATTTTGTGGTATAGTTCCAAGGACAACCCCCAAATGGTCATTGTTTTTGAATAAACAGTAGGCCATGCAAACACAGGGAAGCTCTGGTGTGTAGAGATGTGGGAGGAGGTGGGGTGAAGCAGGAAGAGAGTGATGGGGAGGTTACCAAAGCATTACCCAGCTTCCTGGCAAACACAGAATTCCTACATTGTGGAAAGAGGCATTCGGCCCATCAGGGTCTGCACCAACCCTCAGAAGAGCATCCCAACCAGACCCAACCCATCCCTGTAATCCCACATTCATCATGACTAATCCACCTAGCCTGCACATCCATGGACACTATGGCACAACTTAGCATGGCCAATCTACCTAACCTGTAGGTCTTTGGGCTGCGGGTGGAAACTGGAGCATCTGGCAGAAACCTACAGGGAGAACATGTAAACTCCACACAGTCACCCAAAGCTGGTACTGAACTTGGATCCCTCGTGCTGTGAGGCAGCAGTGCTAACCACTGAACTGCCATGCCATAATCTTCAGCAGCATGCACTTTGCAGTTCATTCCTATCACCAATCCTACTAGAAGGACTCTGCTCTGTGCCAACCTGAGTCATTGAAGAACAAACCAGGACTTAAGTTTCCTGAAGAAAGTTTCTCCAAAATTCTAAATACCTTCAACAGAAAACCAAGTAAAATTTCAGTGCCCTACATTAATCTTACATCCTTGTAAACATTTGAAGTCCAAGAATTTAAGAGATTTTGAGCAGACTCATAGCAGGACCTGGTGGAATAAACCAGGATATGTGAGGGGGGAGGAGAGAGAGAGAAAGAGGGATGTACACTTCAAAGATTAAACAAGAAAGGAAAACACTTTTCTGAAGATACTCACAATGTGGTCTACAAAATTAGATTGATTATTAGAAAAGAAGCATCTATGGTGATGAATAATTGCATTAATATTAATAAATCTTATAATGAGCTTAATGGCACTGCACTCAATCATCAGTTTACATCACATATTCTTACGTTTATTTTTGATTGACATGAACTATTTCCCCAAGACACAAAGAAGATATTTCTGACCCTAATTAAACTAATCATTGCTCATGTCCAATGGCACGTAGTTTTATCCAGTTTAGTTTCATACATGTGTAAGAAAAGCAATATTTTCTTGAATTATTTCTAAAAAGCTTTCTCAGGGTGTAAATGCATTTTAACTTTTTCTTCTGCATCCAAAGATGTTCAATTTTATGTGTTGAGTTCCAGCAGTTAACTCAGACTTGAATAGCTAAGAGATGGGTTGTTATCACTTGAATGAACTTGTTGACTTAAATTGTAGCTTTCTGAAAGATTGGAGCAGAAAACAACATCAGGAAGAATTGAAATCACATAACAACACTGGATTATTCTAAAAGAATTTGCCTGTTCAGCTTTTATTTCAATTACAGCACAGGTCTACAGCAACAACTATTTGCACTTTACAGCACCTTTTGATGCAGTGGGAACATTTTACATTGTTTGATTCTAGGCCACGAGCAGTGATGGAAGAAAGGTAAAGTAAGATGATGAAGAAGTGATCCTAAAAGTGGATTATGAAGAGCTTTCCATATGGTGTGAAGGGATTGTGGACAGTAGAAAGCTGAAGGCTACAAACTAAAGGAGCGAAGAAAGGGTGGGATGGAAGAAGTAAAGAGCACGTACTGAAATATAGATCTAGAGGAGCTGGCAGAGGTAGTAAGAGTTAAGGCAGTGTAGGGCAAACATTTTAAATTCATTACATTGAGGAAATAATTGTAATTAATAACTGCAAGAAGATAAAGAAGTAGGATTCCTGGTATACAGCAGAGCTTTGAAATTTGAATGGTTGACAAAAGACGACTGAAGTAATTAAACTCAGAAATGAGGAATAAAAACAAAGAGTGTTGGAGAAATTCAGCAGGTCTGTCAGCACTTGTAGAGAGTGAAATAGACTTAGCATTTCATGACTCTGTGAGTGAGAAAAAGGTGGAAGCAGCAAATATTGCTGAGGTGTAAGCTGAAAGTCTTAGTAATGGATCTGATATAGAGTTTGAGCCACAAGTCAAGGTCAAACACAATGCTAAAGTTGTGCACAATCTATCAGGAGGGGGGTGAAACAACCTTTAGCACTAGGGCACAGACTTTGTTTGGCAAAGTTGAACAAAAAGACTGAACAAAAATCTCATTGAAAAAAATAAGATGAAGACCTTTATATCAGAGTGTCAACATGCCATGATGTCACCTAGCTGTCTTAAAGCTATATTGCCTTTCTGAGATCTGTGTAATAACAACAAAACTTTATATGAATGCATAAGGCATCTGCAATAAGCTAAATGAAATAGTGACAAAATTAAAGGTAAATGATTTAGATCTAGCTGCCATTAAAGAGACACAGTTATGAGGTGATCAAGAGTGGCAAATAAATATTCCAAGGTTCATAATATTTTGTAGAGCCAGGCAAAATGGCAAATGATGAGAAACAGCTCTGATAGAAAAGGATGCAATAAAGACATTAGTGAGAGAAGATATTGCTTCAGAAGATAATAAAGTAGAATCAATATGGATGGAAATTAGGAAATGCAATAATCAGAAACCATTGTGTGGGCTAATTTACATCCCTTCTTTTAGGAGTTACTATATTAGACAGAGCATTAAGCAAGAAATTATTGTGTGGAATTTTAATCTTCATATAAACTTGTACAATAAAATTGGCAAGAAAGCTGCAGAAGATAAGTCTGCATAAAGTTTCCTGTGTTAGTTTCTTGGAACAATACCCAACTAGGAATAAAGCTATCTTAACTCTAGTATTATGTATTGAAGCAGAGATCATCAGTAATGTCACAGGCAAAGATCCTCTGGGAAAAGTGAATATAACAAATAGAATTCAATGATATTTTTGAAGGTGGCATACTCCAAATTTAAACAATAATCTTTAACTTAAACAAAGCCAGTTATATGGATATGAGGGGAGAGCTGGCTAAGATTAACTGGGTAAATAGACTAAAAGCATTTGGCTGGAAACGAACAGTGAGAAAATTTAAAGAAACAATTCAAGTTTCAACAACAAAAAAAAACTACTGAAAATAAGCTTGGCAAACATGACCATCCGTGGTTCACTTAGGAAAATTAAGGATAACATAAGAATGAAAAAAGATGCTTATAAAACTGCAAAACAGTAATTGGTCTCAGGCTTAGGAATGTTTTAAAAACCAGCGAAGGATAACCAAAAGTTAATATGAAGAGAAAAAGTAAAATAAGTGCCAACCAGAAATGGAAAAACTGATTGTAAGATCTTTTACAAGTACATAAACATAGTTAAATTAAAGCTAAAGCTAAAATTAGCATCAGTCCATTAGAAGCCGAGAAGAAAAATTATGATAGGGAATAAAGAAATGGCTGAAGCATTGAACACGTATTTTGTGTCTGTTTTTACAGCAGAAAACACAACTTCCATTCCAGAAATATATGGTAACCTAGGAGCTAAGGAGAGTGAAGAATATCAGTGGGAAAGTATTAGGGAAGTCTATGGGTCTAAAACCTGACGGTCCTTAGGACGCAATGGATTATACCCTAGGCTTCTAAGAGAGGTACCTACAAAGATACTAGTTACCATTCTCCAAAACACCTTAGATTTGGGAATGGTCCCTTCAGAATGGAAGTTGTCAAATGATACACCTCTTTTCAAGAAACGAGGGAGAGAGAAAACTAGAAATTACAGGCCAGTTAGCCTAACATCAATTGTCAGGAAAATATTGGGATCTATTGTCAAGGATGTTTTAGCAATACTCTCAGAAAAGGTTAACAATTAGGATAAACCAACACAGTTTTAATAAAGGGATATCCTGTTTGACATATCTATTGGAACTTTTTGAGACCGTAACTAAAGGTAGGTGATGTAGTATATCTGGATTGCCAACGGGCATTAAAGGTTATGCTGCACAAAAGGTAAATATCAAATTAAGGGCTCATGGAGCTGAAGGTAATATATCAACAAGATGGTTATCAGACAGAAAACAGTAAGTATGCATAAATGTGACATTTTTAACTTGGCAGGCAGTGAATGGTGGAGTGCTGCAAGAGTCAATGCTCGGCCTCAATTATCTATAATCTACATTAATGACTTAGATGAATAAACAGAGAATAATGTATGAAGTGTGTTGACAATTCAAAGCTTGGGGCAAATGTTAGCAGTGGAGGGCGTGTGGGAGAGAGTGACTGCAAAGAGATATAGACTTATATAGGGACAAAGATATAGATGAATTGAATGGGTAACAAGATGGCAGATGGATTATAATGTAGGAATGTCTGAAGGTTGTTCATTTTGGTTGTAAGGATAGAAAAAACTGTGAAACCTGTAAGTGTAGCTGCTCAAAAGTGAGCTCATGCAAGATATGCAGAATTTTACCATGCAGGTAAAGCAAGCTATTAGTAAGGCAAAATAGCATGTTGGCTCTTATTGCAAAGAGAGTGAAGAGAAGAATAATGAATTATTGTTGCAATTGTACACAGTTTCGATAAGATCACATTTGGAATATTGTGTGCAGTTTTGCTCTCCATATTTAACAAAAAAGATATATTTGCATTGGAGGGCATATAGTGAAGGTTCGGTATTTTATCTCCTGGGTTGAGGGGTTTGTTTTATACTGTACAGGATTTTGAAAGGGCTTGAAAACATAGATGGTGAAAGATTGAAATATTTATGCTGGCTCAGCAACATCATCTCAGGATAGGAGCCAAGCAGTTAGTACTGAAATTAGGAGATTTCCTTATTTAAAGTTTGTGAATGTTTGAAATTCACTGCCTGAGAGAGTTGTGGATGCTCCTTCATTGAATGCATTCAATTTTTATATACACAGAATTTTAGTCCCTCGAGAAACATAGTAAATAGGAGCCAGGTCTTGGACCCTGCCAGGTGCTCTGCCATTCAATTATGATTCAGGCTGGTCATCCAACTCAGTATCCTGTTCCTGTTTTCTCCCCATCCCTTTTGATCCCGTTAGCCTTAAGAACTGCATATAACTCATTACTGTTTTAGCCTCAACTGCCATCTGTAACAGGGAATTTCATAGGCTCTGGGTGAAGAAATTTCTCCTCTTCTTCTCAGTCCAAATGACTTACCGCATTTTCTTTGACTGTGTCCCTTGGTTCTTGTTCTAAAGCCCAGGTTCAGCCATGATCGTACAGGTCATATGATCTACTACCATTCCCCAATTCTACTTACCGCCAACAGGCAGACATGGACCTGCATAATAATACATTGCTTCCTGCTTACTTTCACTCCTGTTTGACCATTAAAATCTATTAGGTTCTGGTGCAGGTGGACAGAAAAACTCAAATGCAGTTTCTCATCAGAAGTCTTCTAGCAGTTAAAATTTAGGGCTAACTTGATCACTTATTGTACAGAGCAAGATACCTTCACTTCAGTAATGACCAGTAAATTACTGCTAATACCATAAAATATTTTTTGGATACTTTTTATCATGGGTCTAGTTTTTTTGTTCAGGTTCATTGTTATACTTACTCCTTTTAGCATGAAACCAAGGTTGAGATTTTGAGGAAGGCTTTGCAGTAGAAACGTTCTGAGTAGTCTGAAAACAAAAGAAAATGAGTGTTAATGAATGTTGCATACACATTTATTCACTTCTCACTTTTATTCCTGCTCCCCCCCATTTCTCTGTTCCCTGTAGAGAGATTTGGTAAAGATCAATGCTCACTGGGAGCACGTCTCAGAAAACTATCAGCAACCAGCCATCGAATTTCATGAGATTTGTCTCTACAAGCACTGCTGCTTGCTGGGAAAATAAGATTGCGACAATTAGGTTTTTTTTCAAATTTATGTAACTCCCAAAGAAAGCCATCAACAGACAGTTTACCTCCTTGTCATTTTGTGTCCAGCTACCTTTAGTCTGAGAATGGCAAAAGTAATTCAATTAGCTTTGAATTTTTCTCAGCCTGATAATTTTCAGGGTAACCAAGCTGACCAAATCACCGTGGCAAGAATCTATGGTAAAGTATCTGCAGATTATCACTTTGTAACATCAACCCATTGTTGGATCTAAGATAGCTGGGGAACATTGGTAATTATTTCAACATATCTTATAATATTGTCTTGCTCATCATATTTTAGTGTCCAGTTACCAGGTATATCAGGAATTGGATCCATTCATATATACTCAATACAATTCATCCCTCCAGATATATTCCTAATATCTAGAGCTGGTACGTGCAAGAAACAGAATTATCTTTAATGCCTTTCACTTTCAAACTCAGATACAGGGACATTACCAATAAACCAAAGGTTCACTCCATTAAATAGTAGACAAGCATTTATTTCATAAGGTTTTTGCAAAGATTTGTAGCTCAGGGTGAGGGTGAGGTTGTTGACTTGCTCGCCAAGCTGGCTTGTTTTCATTCAGATGTTTCATCACTATGCTAGGTGACATCATCAGTGAGGCCTCCGATGAAACGATGTTGTTCTACTCGACTTTGAATTTATATTGTCTGGTCCATTATGCTGATTAGTGTCATTTCTGGTTTTGTTCTGTGTGGGTTTGTATATGGCGTCCAATTCTATATGTTTGTTGATTGCATTATGGGTTGAGAACCATGCCTCTAGGAATTCCTGTGCATGTTTATGTTTGGCTTGGCTACTATGACAACATTGTCCCAGTTAAACTGATGGCCTTCATTGTCCGAGTGTACTGATATTAAGGAAAGTTCGTCGTGCCGTTTTGCTGCTAGCTGATGTTTGTGTATTCTGATGGCTAGTTTCCTTCCTGTCTGTCTGATAGTAATGTTTGTGGCCGTCGGTGCATGGTACTTTGTAAACTACGTTGGCTCTGCATGCCGTGGGTATGGGGTCTTTAATCCTTGTGAGTGTTTGTCGTTGAGTGGCTGTGGGCTTGTGTGCTACCATGATTCCTAGTGGTCAGAAATGACACAAGTCACCATAACAGACCAGACAGTATAAATTCCAAGCAGAGTAGAACAACATCACTTCATCGGAGGCCTCACTGATGATGTTACCTAGCATGGTGACAAAATGTCTGAAGGAAAACAAGCCAGCTCAGCGAGCAACTCAACAAACTCATTTATTTCATAAAATTGAACAATGTCAAGGTGATGTAAAATATGGAAATTACAGAGAACTGCAGATACTAGAAACGACACACTTGCCTCCACACTTTGCCAGAAGAATCAGAAAATTGTGCCTGAGAATTCTGTTCTCAGACCCTGCACGAATCCCATTCTTCACACATAGCCTTTAAGCACTCATTTCACTTGTTAAGTTGCAAGAAGATGATGAGAAGAGTATCGGATGGTTTGATTAGCGTGTGCGTGTGTACGTGTGCGCATAAATGTATGCGTGTGAGAGCGTGTGTACATGTGTACTGTGTACGTGTGTACATGTGCGTATGAGTGATGGAATGAATGTGAGGGTTAGATGGATTACTCTCATTCCCTTTTTTGTTAAATGATAGTATATCGCTGGTGCTTAGAGGTAGACCTTGGACCCAGCTAGCATCTGCTCTGATTCTGGGGTTGCCTGACCAAATCCTGGGATGAAAATCCCCAGTTGGGTTCACAGAACCAGGAAATTCATGACTGTGCACTCCGAACCCAGGAGTAAAAATTGAAGACTGTGGTTTTGGATGATGGCTCTATGATCAGTAATAGTTTAATTTTGGTATGGTTAAATATGGAGCAGATCATCAATGCACATCCCAATTTTTCTTCACTTCACTCCCTAGTCTCACTTTAACCTCAACTCCAGAACATTTTCCAATCTTGTGTATTTTTCTTCATCCTTTAGTGTTCCAAACTGGTCCCCCTTTGTATATATTCCCTTCCCTTATATTCATAGTTTCACAGGTTCGTACATTGCAGAAAAGGCCCTTCAGCCCATCGAGTCTACATCAGCATAACTACTACTAAAGGCGCGCTAATCCTAATTTCCTGAATTTATGTCATATCCTTGAACGTTATGATATATTAAGTGCTCATCCAAATATTTTTTAAAGGTTGTAAGATTTCCGGCCTGCAATGCCTTCCCAGGCAGTGCATTCCAAATTCCCACCACCTGATGAGTGAAAAATGTTTTTTCCCAAATCCCCGCTGACTCTTCTGGCCCTTCCTCTAAAACTATGGCCCCTTGTGATTGACCTCTCAACCAAAGGGAACAACTGCTCTCTACTCACCCTGTCCATACCCCTGGTATTCTTGTACACCTCAGTCATGTCCCTCATCAGTCTTTGCTCTTGAGACAGCAATCTAAACTACCTAGTCTGTCCTTATAGCTTAATTTCTCCATCTCAAGCAATATCCTCTGTACCCCCTCCAGTGAAATCACATGCTTCCTATGGTGAGGAGACCAGACTGCACACAGTACTCCAGCTGTGGCCTGACCAACACTCTGTACAACTCCAACATTGCCTCCTTGCTCTTATACTCTACGCCATGGCTGATGAAAGCAGGTGTCCCGTATGCCTTCTTAACTATCCTATTCAGGTGTTCTGCCAACTTCAGGGATCTCCAAGATCCCTCTGTTGCTCTAAGATACCCAGTATCCCCTGCCATTCATTAAACACTTCCTCATCTTGTTTCTTCTTCCTTTGCCCTGTTATTGGCAGAAAAACTTCTTGCTAAGTAAGCCCTCAGTCATTGACCTAAGTGGTTGAGGATTCCATTCTCAGACTCTCCATCTCTCTAACCCTCTACCTTCCCTTAGAAACCTACACTAAATGGATTCTTTACAACGAGTCTTCAAGTGTCCATTCCTCTTGTTTATTCTCTGAATCATGCTATGGGATGGACATTGTGTTAAACACATACACATATATATATGAATAGGTATACACACGTAACATACACCATTAATGTCCTTCCATTTCCTTTGCTTTGTTAATTCTTACAGTCGCAAACCAATTCTATCCAACGTCAGTTTTGAGAAAAAGTTTCTACCAAAATCATTAATATATTTTTCTCTTTCATATGCTCATTTCTGTCATTCTTATTTTTCATAACCTCACCTTTGATCTTGAAGAAAATCCTCTCAATGAAAACTTCTTCAGCAAGGCTTCTTGTACCTAAGTTAATAGCGGAAGAAGCCATTTCATTAGCTAAAGTCAAAACAGAAATGTCAAAAAACTGGTGGAAATGGCATCAGTGGCTCACCTTATTATCCATGAATGTTCCAAAGACCAAAATGAAGAATCCCTAAAAAAGGCAGATAATTCTTAAGCAGTTAATTAATTTAATTAATTGCAAACACTTGATTCCATTAACAGTTAGGAAAATTGTCAATAGTTTACTGAGATTAAAACAGAAGCTAAAAACAGAATTATCTTTCAACCAATAATATCAACAATACGCTAATCAGAGCAAATTTCTGGTGGGTCTGGAGAACAATGTTAAGCATATTGCCTGGCTGCTTTTAAGTCCCCCAACTGCTGAATCCAGTTCAGTTCCCTTTAACCACAGGTTTCTTCTGCAGAGGGTGATCAAGATGATTAACTTTCTCATTTGTGTTTTCAGATCTCTTCACTGCCTTATCCCATTCTGTAACCTGCACTGCAATCTTTTGAGATATCTGCGTATACCTGTGATGACCTAATTCTCCATAAAGCATTCCTAACATGGCTTTCTTGTTTTGATATATACCATGAGATGGGTATGGAGAGAGGACAGTCAGTAGCTGTGAAATATAGAAAAATGTGGAGAATTTAATCCTCAGTTCCATGTATGGCAGCTGACCAGACTGAAAGGCTGGTGGGCTGGTAGCCATGTGGGAAAGCTTTATCCACAAGACTGTAGCCGAAAAGGATATGGAAGATCTGAAGATTGTGGGGAGAGAAATCACAGGCAGGGGTGAGTGGTTTGATCAGTAAGGAAGTCATGAGAAGAGGCTGTGAAGGTTGAAATGTAGTCCAAGATCACAGTGGAGAGAGTGAATAGAGGGTATATGGAGATCACATGGAGGTGAACACTGTTTTATACATCCATTTTTATCCATAGACTACTATGGAACTGCCCAAAACTGAAAGTGAAATAAATCACTTTCTTCCAAGCTATGGGTATTTCCCATATACCCAATACCAAGAAATTTGTAACAGTAATCTTGATGCACAATTGTTTATATTGTTGATTGTAAACTTCCTAATATAAGCAAAAACCCATTCATCCTGAAGGCAAATATCCTTTCAGGTTGTTTGAAAAGAATTCACCATGGCTACAGAAATACTTGCAACTTTATATATAATATATATAATAAAATACCTTCCATCCCTACATTATAACAAGTAGATTTCACAAAATGTATGTGAAGAACTTAGGGAAGTTCTGACAATGTGTTAGACACTACATAAACAAATCCTGTATGAAATTGCAATATTCCGGTTCGTTTCCTTACCATTGAGAATGATTGTTAAGAAAACTAATTTTTTTGCTCCAAAAACAGAAATTGCCAGAAAAGCTCAGCAGGTCTGGCAGCATCTGTGGAGAGAAATCAGAGTTGACGTTTTGGGTCCAGTAACCAACCCTTCTTCAGAACCCAGTTCTTCAGTTCTGATGAAGGGTCACTGGACCCGAAATATTAATTCTGATTTCTCTCCAGCAATTTCTACTTTTGTTTCTGATTTCCAGCATCCGCCATTCTTTTGGTTTCAATTTTTTTTTGCTATGCTGTCTGTACTGGCCTGATTTGATGTTAAAGTTTGCTCATTTCCAGATCCGCACATTAAAGAACGACACAGGTAGTTCCGAACTTATGGATCATGTTTTGTTGATAATTGCATGATGAATTCTACTGCATCAATATCGGTTAGTAGGAAGTCAAAAGTTAGAAATCTTCAGTAATACACACCTGAAAAGCATTGAGAATTGTAAATATATAATGGAAAGCAATATGGGAATCCCGTTGAAAGGTTGGTATTCCAAATGCCCATGTGAGTCCAAGGATTGGGGTCAGCACTGCAATGCTTCTCACAATCTGTTTGAATGCTTCTCTGTCCTGATTATTCGCTCTGGATCTGTCTCCAATTGTTGGTCGCAGCAGCTTAAAAATGACTATAATCAGAATGATGATGTTGATTGTGATTATAACCAACGCAGGTATAACAAATGCAAGCAGAGGGTATTCGGTCTCCCAGCCGAGCCAGCAGGCACCTTCTCTGGTGTAACTGTTTCTTGGATAGGTAACCCCGATTGTGATAATTGAGATTAGCAATGGAGGCAGGTAACCAATGGCAAATGATATTCCCGTCATAACTGATTTACTGAGATGATGGAAAGGGAAAAGTAAACGATAGACAAGCAGCAGGCCCAGGGTTAACATCCAGAAGAATAAGGCAAGATAGAAAAAATGAATGAAGAAAGTAGCAGCTGTGCAAGCCTGTGTTTCTGGTTCTACAGCTGAAGCCACAATGAACCATATATCAGCGACCAGCAGATTTACTGCAATATTCACAATTCCAACATGGCGAGTATATGAGGTTTTATTTTTGGTCACTTGCTTCCACACTATGGCCTCAATAATAATGGCAATTAGCAAACTTCCAATTGAGACAGCAACTCCGATCCTGGTGATATAACTCAAAACTGGGCTGTCATTGGTAACAGGAGACATTAAAATAGAAAAGGACGTCAAATGTTCACAGTGACATATGATATCTTCTTCCCCTATTTCAGATTCACAGCCAGTGTCATTCCATCTGTTGCCACTAAAATCCCAAAATGCACATCTGGCACTGTTGAAATCTAGTGTGCGATTTCTTGGTGAGAAGTTCATGTTGACATTAATAGGTTTCTGACCATTTAGTGTTACTGTCACGACGAGACCATTAATCAAAAAGTCTTTACCAAAAGTCGAAGTATTAGGCAAAATGTCAATCCATGTTGGATATGCAATACTGATTACTGTGGCATTTAGTTCATCTTCAAATTCTCTAGACAAAATGAATATATTAGCACTTAAATTGGAATATTCCACAGCGGAAAAGTTCGCATATGTTACATTATAAGAAGAGTTATTATTCTGCTGAAGAACTCTTCTCGCATTGAGTTCAAGGTTATTTTCTTTAATATTCAATGTGTCATTCTGCAACTTGAGGCGAGTATTAAAATTTTCCACTGATTGCAATAATTGAGAACTGGGATTGATATTACTTTGGCTTGTATTAGAGAGAATTCTCCATGTATTTACTGATGCAGCAGATATAACTGAACTTACAGTTTCTAAGAAGTTCTGAAAAACATGAAAGAAAGCTTTGTTAATCAAACACTTACTTGCAAAATTTTCAGAAAATTAATATATTTGGCATCAGAACATGGCCAAAAGAGGGAGGCTTGAACAAGAAATTAATCAAAATGGCATGCTGGCAAAGCACAACAAGTCTATTAAACTAATTCCATGCTGAAACTTGGGAAAGATCTTAATAATCATGCCTGCTACACACTTTTACCCCCACACTGCCAAGTACCCCATCCCTTCTGGCAAAATCATAAATCTTAAAATGCCATCATGAAAAACTTATTCATGAGGTAAAATCAAATTGTTAAAATTTCACTTTAAACCACTTGGGCGCTCCAAACCAATCCAGCATGCATTGGCCTAGCGGTATTATTGCTAGACTATTAATCTAGTGACTCAGGTAACGTTCTGGGGTCCTGGGTTCAAATCCTCCTATTGCGGATGGTGAAGTTTCAATTCAATAAAAATCTGGAATTAATGAGTCTAATGATGACCATGAAACCATTGCTGATTATCAGAAAAGACCCATCTGGTTAATGAATGCTCTTTAGGGAAGGAAGGTGCTGGCCTTACCTGGTCTGGCCTACATGTGACTCCACACCCACAACAACGTGATTGACTCTTAACTGCCCTCTGGGCAATTAGGGATGGGCAGGTCTATCCAGTGATGCCCACATACTTCGAGTGAATATTAAAAAGAAAGAGGGTGACACTGATGCCTAGTACTATCTGGTCGAGGAACACTTAATATTCATCTTAATTCTACTTTAGCACACAATGTAACTATTTTACTGTGTTATATATATTTATGAATGAAATAGAGGCTTGATTAGACTATTTGACTCTCTGAGCCTGCTCCGCCATTCATTAAGATCATGTTTTTTTTTGTTCTACTTTAATTTGATCTTCTTACACTATCTCTATTTATCAAACAAAAAAAATTGAACTGTCTTGAAATTCTCAATTTCATTTTCAATTTCTTGAAATTAAGCATGCACAACTCTCTGTACTGTAGATCTTCAAAGGTTCGCAACAGTTGTCCAAAAACAGAGGGAGAAGGAGGGAAAATTCACCCCTGAAAGCTGCCAAAATGCTCAGGCAAAAAAAAATCAAGGGGGTGTTCAAAAATTCACCTCCCTACCTGAAACTGACAGGACCTTTGAAGAGCTGCTTCTCCAAGCATAGGCTGACTCTCCCTTCAGTGCTCAGTGACACTATTAACAGCAAACGTGGGAGGGAAACAGCCTGTGATTAACAAAACAGCGACAGGTTGAATGGCAACCATTAAGTAAGTTGGGGCCAGGCTATTGAAGTGAAAGTTTCTGGTCCAGCTATGGAGAAGCACAAATTCCTTTGCCAGGGAGGGAAGAGAGAGGTTACAGGAGATGGGAAAGAAAGAGTTTGAAAGGGTGATAGAGAGTTGGAGGCTACAAGGTGGAGTGAGCAGTTTTATACTGTTTAATGGGATACTAAGCTAATTGGGAGCCAGGAAACCGCAAAGCTACCGAGGTAAGGAACATCTTACAAATGCTTGTGGAATTTCTAGTTTAAGGCTATATAAGTTTTAGACCTTCGACATTAAGAAGAATGTAGTCAGTTGCTATTGTAATGAGCATTGTTGATTGTTAAATCTAAATCTGAGACTGAGTTTTCAGATGCAGTGACAAAGGAAGTAACTGCCAGCTTAAAGTCTTCGAGCTTTGTGCAAATGTGAAAGAAACGCATTTCTTGTGGCCTCAACAGTCTAGGGAAATCATGTTTAGATTGATGGCTTTGCATCTAGATAGGTGTCACTTATTTTGGGAATAACTTTTGCTGCTAACTTGTATGTGGTGTCTATGAAATTAAAGATTTCTCTTGTGTATCATGGGTTTAACTTTAATGGAGGGGTGATGATTGTGGAGGTGATTGATGAATTCTTCTAACTCTGATTCTAGGTGCATCTAACTACTTCATATGTTAATACAAATATTGAATCAGCTAATGAATTTGTTTGCGAGAATGAAAACAAGAGATGCTTGGTAAAAAGGAGACACTCCAAGCTAAAATGTAAACTTTGAAAATGAAAAAGTAGCTAATAAGTCTGTATCTTTCTACATGTAAATAAATCCTACCACTAAGAATCTTCTCCAATAAATTTTCTACTGCTCATTTAAGGCTCACTGGCCTGTAATTTCCTGAATTATCCCTGTTGCCTTTCTTAAACAAAGGAACAACATTGGCTATTTTCCAGTCCTCTGGGGCCTCTTCTGTGATGAAAGAGGATACAAAAATTTCACACAAAGTCCCAGCAATTTCCTAGCTGCCTCCCTCAGCATTCTGGGATAGATTCCATCAGGTCCTGGACACTTGTCTACCTTAATGCTTTTCAAAACATCCTTTTTCATACAGACATGTCCTAGAATATCAACATACCCCTTCTAAGACTCACCATCCACTACGTCCATCTCCTTTGTGAATACCAATGCAAAGTATCTTCCTTCAGCTCCACACTTAAATTCTCTCCTTTGCCCATGAGCAGACCCATCTTTTCCCTAGCTATCCTCTTGCTCCTTATATACATGTAAAACTCCTTGGGATTTTCCTTAATCCTGTTTGCCAAGGACATTTCATGGTCACTTTTAGCCCACCTAATTCCTTGTTTGAGTTTTTTCCTGCTATTTTTGTATACTTCTGTCTGTCTTCAATTTGCTAAACCTTACGTATGCCTCCTTTTTCTTTTTGACTAAGATCTTAATTTCTCTTGTCATTCAAGATTCTCAAATCTTGCCATCCATAACCTTCATTTTCAGAAGAACATCCTGCTCTGGAACTCTAATCAATTGATTTTTAAAAGACAGCTACATGCCAGATGTGGATTTACCCTCAAATAGCTTCCCCCAATCTACATTTCCTGGTTCCTACTAATATTATGGCAGTCAGCCTTCCCCCGCTTTAATGTCATCCAAAGGCTACTCTTGCTCTATTCCACAAGTAACTTAAAACTTACAGAATTAAGGCCACTGTTCCTGAAATGCTCCCTCACTGGAACTTTGATCACCTGGCTGCGCTCATTCCCCAACACTAGGTCTAGCATGGCCCCACATTTCAAAGATCATTTGCTTTAAAGCTTCTTTAGGATGGTAAATCTGAGGAAAATGTTATTTCCAAGTATAGCAGAAATGAACCTATATGGAACTTATTATGCCTGGATCAACAAAACTATTGTCGTGAACTCATCAGAAACCGAAGCTTGCTATAATCCACATTAGTTGTCTATAATAGCAGCTGATGTATCTTCAGATGGATTGAGGACACGACAATTTCATGTGCAGAAGGGTGGAAACCTGTCTATTATGCTACTAGAAAATTCCTGAAGATGGAACAGAGGTATGGACCAATTGAAAATGTGGCTTTAACAGTAACATGAACATGCAGAAAATGTTCAGATTATGTAATGGGTCCACAGTTTAAGAAAGAAACTAACCATTATCCATTGGTTGCTCTTCTGAACATAAATCAAATAGCTATCACATAGAATTCAATGATTCAGATTGAGGCTAACAAAGTATGACTCAACAATTGAAAACATGCAGGGGAAGTACCACTTGACACCAGACACAATAACTACGATACCAACATGTATAGCAGAGAAAGCAAATACAGATTTCACAGAAGAGGTTAATGTCTACATGTCAGAAGCCAAAAGTCATTTACTAGCTACAGAAAAAACCACACAAGTAATCTGAGAAGCACACAAATGTGATGCAGAATTCATCCAGTCAAGAAGATATTGTTTGGAAAGCTGACCAGACTATACAACAAATATTGCTATACTGTGCCAGTATTTTGAGCAGTGTGGCATCTTACTGTCATCAATGACCTGCTAGTCTTCAATGCGATATTAGTGAGGCCAGAGCACTTAGACTTGAAAATATTCAGAGAATTCATCAAGGTCATTTGGGCATTAGAAAGTGTCATGTGAGGGTGCAACTGTCATGTGGTGGCCAACGATCTCAAACTCAATATAAGAAATGACTAGTAATTACATTTTATGCACAGTGAGCAGGCAAAAGAAAAAAAATTATTATAATCTTTTCTCATCAAGGCAATGGGAGTCCTCGGGAATGGATTTCTTCAAGTTCAAAGACAAGATGCTCATTATTATCATAGATTACTGCTCTCAAGATGGAATGAGATATATCACCTTCACAATATCACAGCAGAAACCACATAAGAATTACCAAGATAATCTTCTCAACACACTTATAACTAATCTTCAGATAGGTCTTAGTGTGATTTCATAAACTACACATACAACTATCACCTTGTTAAGTTTCTTTTTCATGCTAAACAGACACAGCTTAGAAAAGCAACCTAGTAGGCTTGCAATTGTTTCTAGTAGAAGATGGTTCTTACCCTCATATCTGTTTCAGTAACATTGCTATTTACATTTGAAATTTGTGTCATAATTTCAACCACAGCTTGTACATTGCCAGGTGTGTTTACGGTGACCTCATCTGTGACATTGGATAATTGTTCAAGAAGATTAGAAAAATTGTCTTCCAAATTAGTTGTGTTTACTGCCTGGAAAATAAAATTAGAAATGATTATTAGCAAAATCATGCATATCCCTGCTGTCATGATGCAACTGACAAACATGTTTCCCATACAGCCTCCAATCCCACCCTGCTAGCAGTTGCAGAATTTCTTCATAAAGGCAAAAAAAAACTTTTCAAACACCCTATGGAAATTCAGGTTGAAAAACACGAGAAAATTCCTCTTTGGTCTGTAAATGCAATCAAAATGTGTTTCAAGAAATCACTGTGTTAATATGCGACGTTCTATTTTCCTTTAGTTCTGTGAAGGTGACTTGATTTTTAAGGTCAGAAACTCGTTTTTTGAAGTAGTAGGTCAAAGGAGCATTTCCAATAAATCATGTAACTTAAGCTAAGTAACTGGATAAGTCACTTGTTGTGATAATGGCCGAGTGTTTACTGAGTTCAGCTTTTATGACCCAGAGAGACTGGCAGAGAAGGGCCACAAACAGGTTCTGTTCAGAAGATCAATGTTGGCAGAACAGCAGTCTTAGTCTTGGCTATGTCCAAGCCATCGAGGTGGAAAGGAGTATTAAATTGTTTTAGGAGCCTGAGTAGACAGGGCTGGAAAAAGCCATGACCTTTTCTTAGAGTTCAGTGAAAAAAGTCAGTTAGTTAGCTAGCTTGTACCTGTGTATATCTGGGACAGACGGACACAATCATATCTAGTGAATGTTAGCAAGTGTTAAGGAAAATACTTATAACCTATCAATTAAGTAAGAAAATAAAGAGTTAAGATGGAAGTGATCATTTGTGTGGTCTGTTAATTGTATTGCTGGGGATAAAATAAACTAACCTTCCTGTTTATTTTTAGAAGGTATTTCAAAATTGTCTTTATATATATTCATACTTGGTTTTTACCTTCTCTTGTGCAATAAGCTTTGATAGTCCTTTGTTAGAATATGTTGATACCCTCTTGTGAATATGTTTAGTGACTGACCATCGTGGTCACCAATTTGCAAAAGTAAAACTTATATTTTATCAAGCAAGTTTTTAATCCAAAGTTTGACTATACCGGTATTACCATCAGCTGAGATCAAAACAGTATGAAATGTCCACTGAAATAGTATTTAGTTAAGGTTGCTCCCAGTTTTTTTTTTAATAAGAGTAAAACATGGAACATGGTTGGCCTGTATATTTTTTGACAATAGTCATTGTCTAACACTAACATGGTGTGAATGCAGCTTATCCCTAGCCAAGTCTGGATACTACATTATTTTCTTCTGAGGCTGTTAACATGTTTCCACTACAACACATTGAGTTTTGAGAAAGTTAAATCCAATGCAGACTTTGCCATGTGTGGGGAAGGTGGTTCTTGGAGGATTGGGTAGATGAGATGTTTGTAGGTTTTTTTTCTGAAGGGTCCCAACCCGAAACGTCAGCTTTCCGGCTCCTCTGATGCTGCCTGGCCTGCTGTGTTCCTCCAGCTCCACACTGTTTGTAGGTTTATGTGCTTTTTCATTCTAATGCGTCAACTTTGCCTCTGCTATTTTTGACCAAGTTTCTTGATGTGCGGTGCGCCTTCCCAAATGAACCTTCTTCAAATTGGCCAGTCTCACAAGAGTTGGCAGGGATCTTTGATCTCTTTAGTGATGCTTAATCCCCTAGGAATTTTCACTGTCCTCCTGGGACTATCCTTCCATAATCAAATTCTGAGCATAGCAATTCCTTCTTGTTTGTGGTGTCAGGCATTTTGAACGAGATGCCAGTATAGCTGGTTTGGAATGATTCGCACCTTGATTGGTTTATTTGGGAGATATTTGACCTTTATTACTGACAGATTTGGAAGATCTTGTGGAAACACCACTGATGGTATTTCTCTTGTGATTTGAGATGTTATATATTGGATCCTTTAACCTCAATCTCTGGGTACACCCTGTCATTCTGAATATTTGGATCCACCAAACAGGTATAGTTGTGGCAATATTGATTTAAACTAACTAGAAGCAATATAAAATAATTAATTATTTGGTGTGAGCACATTTTATAAAGACAGCAATTACTGTACCTTCTTATAATTCGTACCTGAAGAATATTATTGATTTCTTCTGATATACAGAAATCTAATTCTTCTTCATATTCTCCATTCCTTCCACATCTTCTTTTCTTGAAACCTGGCATGTTTTCACATGGGATTTCTGCGATGGTATTATAATTTGCTGTGCCAAACACTGCATCATGGCATGGTATTTTATCAGCTGTTTAAAGAAAACACTCATATGTTTTTTTTTTCAAAATCTACAAAATGTGGTCCTTACTGTTCTTTTAAATTGATCATTTGTTACAAACTAACTTAGTCTCTACATGCTCGATTATTGACTTGTGAATATAGCAGTGAGAAACTGAAAATATTTCCATTCAAGCAAATATCTTCAGGAGATCTTGCAGAGCATCAGTAGTTTAGTTCCTTCTGCACCAGAACATCTAAGTTCAAGCCTCACCTCCCACAGACTAAAAAAAAACCTTTATTTAACAAGTATTTAGAAGTATAACAGGTCATTTAACAATTTGTTATATGATACAAGTGTTAATTGGTTTGGATGGAATAGAACGTGTTGACTTTCTAAAATATGAAATGAATGACAGGAAAAGACACAATGACAGCAATTTTGTAAAGTCCAGTGCATAAAGTCAGCTATCCAACTAATAGAAGCAATCCGGAACCATTTTTATGTCTGGGACTCATCTAAGAATAATTGGCAAGCAGTCTATCAATCTGTAGTGGATACATCAAACTATGGACGATTAGGTAGTGATTTTGAAAAACGATGATATGTATTACTTTTGATGCCACATGTTGGCGAGCATGGGAGTTGGTGAATGGAACAGATGAATGTGTGGCTGAAGGCTCAGAACAGGATGGTGGGTTTTAGATTCCTGGATTGCTGGGGCCATTTCTTGCGAAGACGAGACATATACAAGTCTGACACATTACAAATGAACTGGAACTGGGCCAACATTCTTGCCAAGGTAGTGGGGAGTTGCTTTTGTGGTAGGGAAGTCTTGCTAAAACTATGCAAGACATTACTTAGACACAATATTAGTCTTTGAACACAGAAAGATCTGGTCCTGGCAAAACAGAAAGAGCCGGTAGTGATTAGGAAACCAAGGGGTGCTCACAACCAGAATTAAAGCTTTTTGGACCCAGTGAGACCAGATCACCACAGAGTATGGGATATTATTATGAGGAGCAAGAGTGATTGGCCTGAGCAAAGGCTGCCACCAGATACTAGCTGAACTCCACCAGGGTCATCCAAGGGTTTCCAAAATGAAGATGCTATGTCTGGTGGCTACAAGTGGATGCAGATCTAGCCGCATTGGTGGGGCAGTGCCCAGAGTGCCAACAAGGACAAAATTTACTGCCAGCGGCTCCTCCACAGTCCTGAGGATGGCTGGGTAAACCCTGGAGTCAGTTAGATGTCAACTCTGCATGTCCTTTCATGGATTCGATGTTCTTGGTCATTTTAGACTCCTATTCAAAGTAGCTGGAGGTGCAGAGAGTTCATTTGTCAAAAAGGGATAATGATTGAAAAGGTGCGAGCATTTTTTGCAAAACATGGACACCTGGAAGTGTTAGTCACAGATAGCAGGTCATCGTTTACCAGCAATGATGCAAATATCTCAGCAAGGGACCCAGCAATCTCTTCCCCAGCTTACCTCAAAGTTCTGGTAAATACCTGATCAAGTCTTGGGGATTTACCTACTTTTATGCGTTTTAAGACCTCTAGCTCCTCCTCTTCTGTAACATGAACTCTTTTCAAGACATCACTACTTATTTCCCAAAGTTCCCTTTCTTCCATGTCCTTCTCCACAGTAAACACTGAACCAAAATATTCGTTTAGTATCTCACCCATCTCCTGTGGTTCTACACACAGACGGTCACATTGATCTTTAAGGAGCCCGAGTCTCTCCTTTGTTACTCTTTTGCTCTTAATGTACTTATAGAATCTCTTTGGATTCTCCTTAACTCTCTTTACCAAAGCTATCTCATGTCCTCTTTTTGCCCTCCTGACTTCCCTCTTAAATATACTCCTACTGACCTTATACTCTTCCAGGGATTCACTCAATCCCAGCTGTTTATACCTGATATATGCCTTCTTTATCTTGACCAGAGCCTCAATTTCTCACGTCATCAAGCGTTCCTTACACCCACCAGCCTTGCCCTTCACACTATCAGGAACATACCATCTCAGAACTCTCAGTATCTCATTCTTAAAAGTCTCCTACTTCTCAACCTTCCCTTTACCTTCAAACAGCCTTCCCCAATTAACTTTTGAAAGGTCCTGCCTAATATTGTCAAAATTGGCCTTATTCCAATTTAGAATTTTAACTTTTCGATCAGTTCTATTCCTTTCCATAACAATTTTAAACTAATAGAATGATAATCACCTGCACCCCGCACCATGCATACCACCCCTCCCCACCGGCCTCCGTCCCACCACTGATACCGCAGTCACTTGCCCTCCCAACAGAAAGTCGAGTTTTGCTCTTGTACACACTTAAATTCCTCCCCATCCAAGCCCCAACACTATGGCAGTCTCAGTCTATGTCTGGAAAGTTAAAATCCCTTACCATTACCACCCTATTATTCTTACAGGAAACTGAGATCTCCTTTCTTACTTGCTTCTCAATTTCCTGCTGACTGTTGAGGTGGTGGTTGGGGTTGGGGGAGGGGGGGTGGGGGTAGGGGGTCTATAATACCATCCCAACAAAGTGATCATCCCTTGTTTATTTCTCAGTTCCCCCATGTAACTTCATTGGATGATCTCCCAGAAATATCCTTAGTGCAGCTGTAATGTTATCCTTAATCAAAAACGCCATACCCCCCTCCTCTCTTGCCTCCCCGTCTAACCTTTCTATAGCACCTATACCTTGGAAAATTAAGTTGCCAGTCCAGCCCATCCTTGAGCCATATATCTGCAATAGCTGTAATATTCTTGTCACATTACAAGAATGTTGTTGGGTCTGAAGGGTTTAAATTATAGGACGAGGCTGAATAGCTTGGAGCTATTTTTCCTGGAGCTTCGGAGACTCAGAGGTTTATAAAATTATGACAGGCATGTATAGGGTGAATAGCTAAGGTCTTTTTCCTGGGGTGAAGGAGTCCAAAACTAGAGGATATAGGTTTAATGTGAGAGAGGAAAGATTTACAAAGGACCTGACGGGTGACTTTTTCATGCAGAGGGTGGTGCATGCATGGAACGAGTTGCCAGAGAAAGCGGTGGAGGGTGGTACAATTACAACGTTTAAAAGGCATCTGGATGGGTATATGAATAGGAAGAATTTAGAGGGATATGGGCCAAATGCTAACAAATGGGACTAGGTCAAATTAGGATGTCTGGCTAGCATGGATAACTTGGACTGAAGGGTCTGTTTCTGTTCTGTATGACTCTATGAATCATCTCTACCTTAAAAGGGAGACAGCTTATGTTTCACCTACATCATCTAGTGTTCCCAACAAGAGGAAACATCCTCCAGATATCCACTCTATCTAGTCTCTCAAGGTAGGAAAATAGGATCAGGAATAGGTGTAGCCATTAGGCCTGCCAAACCTGCCACACTGTTTCATGCAGTCATGGTTGCGGAATATTTCAATGTCTTTTACCCACACTATCCCCATAAATCTTCATACCATTGATAATCAATAACCTATCAACTACTACTTCAGATAAACTTAAAGACTGAACTTCCAGAGGCCTTTGAGATAGACAATTCCAAGATTCACGATTATTTGAGTAAAAGCTTTCTCCTCATTTCTCTCCTAAATGGCATCCTCCTTAGCTTAAAATTGTGCCCCCGATTCTAGCCTCTCCAACTTGGGTAAACATCTTACCTGCATCAACCTTGGATATTATTTTAAATTTTTAATAAGTTTCAATGATATCATTTCTAATTATTTGAAAATCTACAGAATACAGGTCCAGTTTGCCCAATTTCTGCACAGGACAGTTCGCCAATCTGGGAACATCTGGTGAACCATCGTTTTACTTCCTCAATTACAATGATATCTTTCCTGAGATAAGAATACCAAAAATGTGTACAGTACTCCAGCCATAGTCTAACCAAGCTCCTATACAACTGGAGCAAGACGTCACCATTCCTGTACTCAAATCAACGTGTTATTAAGGCTACCATTCCACCATTCCCTTAGCCTTCCTATTAATTTGCTACACCTACACATTAGCTTTCAGTGACTCACTGACAAGTACACTTAGGTCCCTTTGAACATCAACACTGTCCAAACCTGTCACCATTTAAGAAACACACAACACATGTGTTCCTCCAACCAAAACATTTTTCCAATCATTTTTTTTCCACATTATAATGCTTAATTCTAAGCCTGCCTAAATCATCCTGAAAGCATTTTACATCTTTCTCATGACACGCATTCCTGCTTAGCTTTGTGTCATTTGCAAATATTACATTTGGTCTCAAAGCATGATATATATTGTAAACAGCTGGGGCCCAAGTAATGATCCTTGTGATACCCACAAGTCACAGTCCGATAATGCAAAATTCACCTACTCATTGAAACATATAACATCACTTCTCTTTTAAACTGCAATAGAATGGCCCAGCCTGTTTAACCTTTTGTTATACTACCAGGAATACAATACTTTAGTCAAGCGTGATTTATTTTTCATGCAGCCAAGTTGCTTCTATCTGATCACATTCTGATTTTGTAAGTATTCAGCTATAATTCCCCTTGCACTTCCCTATGACAAATGTTCATTTAAATGCCTACAGGTTCCTCCTTTCTGTTTTGAATTAATAGTACTACTTTTGTTATTTGCTAATCCACTGGGTTCCTGAGGAATCTTGGTATCTGAGGAATTCTACTGGAAGATTTTAACCATTATTTGTTATATCTGTACCACCAGTTCTTTAAACACTACAGGATGCAGGTTATCCAGTCTTGGGGATTTGTCAGTCTTTAGGTTCAGCAATTTTATTAGCACCTTTTCCTGTTGATAGTGATTGTTTTAAATCCATCCCTCCCTCACCTTCTGATTTTCAATTATCCTTGGGAAGGTTTCTAAGTCTTCTGTTTCATAGTCTCAACCATTTTTTATTTTCTATGACCAATTCCCCAAACCCACTCCCTAGAGTTTGCTGCTGTGTGCCTTTTAGATGAGAAGTACAGCTGCTACTTTACATCAGTGGCGGAGGGAGTGAATTTTTTAAGGTGGTGGTTGAGATGTCAAGCAAGTGGGCTGTTTTGCCTTTGATACTATTCAGCTTCTGGTGTTATATTGGAGCTGTGGTAACTGAAGTAGGTAGGCAGTATTCCATCACACTCCTGACATGTGCTTTGTAGATGGTGGTCAGACGTTGGAGAATCAGGAAATGAATTACCCACCACAGAATTCCTAGCCTCTGGCCTGCCCTTGTAGCTCCTGTATTCATACAGCTGCTCTAATTCAGTTTCTCATAACAGTTCAATTTCTCTTAACCCTCAGGATGTTGATAGTGGAGGATTCGGTGATGATAATGCCACTGCATGTCAAGAGATGATTCTCTCATGTTCAGAATAGTCATTACCTTGGACTCGCATGGTACTAATGTGACTTGCCACTTATGAGCCAAGCAGACAGCAAGAACTGCAGATGCTGGAAGTCAGAGTCAATACAGTGTGAAGCTGGAGGAACACAGCACGTCAGGCAGCGTCACAGGAGCAGGAAAGTTGACGTTTTGGGTCAGGACCCTTAATTAGGACTGGGGAGGTGGAAGGGAGTTCAGAAATAAATAGAGGGAGTGGGGTGGGGTTGGGCGAAGGCAGGTGGGGTGGTGATAGTTGGATGCAGGTAGGGGGTTGTGGAGATTAGCCAATGGGAAGGGTGGGGTGGATAGGTGAGAAAGAAGATGGACAGGTTGAGTCAGGTCAAGGTGGCAGGGATGAGAGGGAGGGCTGGACATGGGATGAGGCCGGGGTGGGGAGATTTTGAAGCTGGTGAACTCTATGTTGAGGCCATTGGCTGTAAGTTCCTGAGCAGGAATATAAGGTGTTGTTCCTCCAATTTTCATGTGGCCTCATTGTGACACTGGAGGAAGCCCAAGATGGACATGTCATCAAGGGAGTGGGAAGGGGAGTTGAAATGGCTGGGAACCAGAAGGTGGTGTTAATTGGAGTGTACGGAGTGCAGATGTCCCATGTATCTATCACTGAGTCTGCGCTTGGTCTCTCCGCCGTAGAAGAGACCACATTGGGAGAAGCGGATGCAGTAGATCAGATTAGAAGACATACAGGTGAATCCCTGTTGGATACGAAATGATAGTTTGGGGCCTTGGATGGAGGTGAGAAGGGAGGTGTAGGGAAAGGTGTAGCACTTCTGTGGTTGCAGGGAAAGGTGCTGGCTGTGGTGGATTGGTGGGGAGTGTGGAACGGACAAGGGAGACGCAGATAGCGCAGTCCCTATGGAAAACAGATAGGGGTGGGGAGGGGAATATCTGTTTGATGGTAGGGTCTGCTTGCAGGTGGCAAAAGTGATGGAGGATGATGCGTTAGATTCGGAAGTTGGTGGGGTGGTGTGTGAGGACCAGATGACTCTATCTTTGTTTTTGTTGGGGGAGGGGCTTTGAGGGCAGAAGTATGGGAAATGCAGGAGACACGCTTGAGGGCATTATGAATCACGGGACAGGGGAAGTTATGGTCCTTGAAGTAGGAGGACATCCGGGATGTCTGGGAGTGCAATGCTTCATCCTGGAAGGAGATGCAGCAGAGGTGGAGGAGCTGGGAGTATGGGATCACATTTTTGCAAGAGGGTGGGTGAGAGGAGGTGTAGTCAAGGTATCTATGGAAGTCAGTGGGTTTGAAATAGATGTCAGTGCTGAGTCCATTGCCAGAGATGAAGACGGAGAGGTCCAGGAAGGGGAGGGAGGTGTTGGAGATGGTCCAGGTGAATTTGAGGTCGGGGTGAAAGTGTTGGTGAAGTTGATGAACTGTCTGATCTCGTGGGAGCACGAGGCAGCGCCGATAGTCATCAATGTAGTGGAGAAAGAAGTGAGGGGTGGTGCCAGTGTAACTGCGGAAGAGGGACTGTACCACGTATCCTATGAAGAGGCAGGCACAGCTCAGACCCATGTGGGTGCCCTTTAGTTTGTAGGAAGTGGGAGGAGTTAAAGGAAAAGTTATTGAGGGTAAGGACAAGTTCCGTCAAGCAGATGAGAGAATGGGTGGAGGGGGACTGGTTGGACCTGTGGGAGAGGAAGAAATGGAGGTTTTTTAGGCCCTTCTCACGGCGGATACAGGTGTAGAGAGACTGAATGTCCATGGTGAAAATGAGGTGTTGGGGGCCGGGGAATTGAAAGTCTTGGAGAAGTTGAAGGGCGTGGGTAATATCCCAAAAGTAGGTGGGGAGTTCCTGGACCAGGGAGACAAAACAGAGTTGAAGTAGGCAGTGGTGAGTTCGGTGGGGCAGGGGCACTTATCAGACAAGTCTGGATGTTGTCCAGATTTTGCTGTAAATGAACATGCACTGCTTCAGAACCTGAGGAGTCACTAATGGGCTTAATATTGTGCGATAGGGTCCCCACGTCTAATATAATGGAAGACAGTTATTGATGAAGCAGTTGAAGATGGTTGGGCCTAAAACACTACCCTGATGAACACCAACAGTGGTGTTCTGGGACTGAAATGATTGACGTCCAACAACCACGACCACCATACTGGTATGACTTTAAACTGAAGAGAAATTTTCTCTTGATTTCAGTATTGTTCAGGCTCCTTGGCCATGTTTGATCAAATGCTACATTGATGTCAACGACAGTCACTCCCACCTCAGTACTGGAGTTCAGTCTTTCATCCATGTTTGGACTAAGGAAGCATCAAGGTCAGGAGCTGATTGGCTCTGGCGGAACCCAAACGTAGTATCTTTGAGTAAGTTATTTCTAAGCAAATACCTCTTGTCAAAGACCCCTTCCATCACTTTGCTTTAACATCCAATAATGCAAACATAAACATTCTGTTTCAATAGGGAATAAGTAATCTATTTCTAAAAAATTATAATTTCAAGCTCTTTTTACAAAATATTGCACAAAAGACTACTTACAAGGTAAATACTCAATTCTATAGTTTGCAGGAAGGTTCTTTTGCAATTCTTCAGAACTGGTGGTGAGTTCATCAGGAGTTAAAGCTCTAGTAGAGGTTACTTCCTGCAGTACAATTAAACTCCCATTTCTAAATTAATAAAGGCAAGAAAAGAGAATTATCACTGACATTTTGTTAAATAATGTAATTTAACTTAAACATCCGATGAAGGCACAAATGAATGTGAAATTCTGTCTCTACCTTGTATAGTTTAAAGAAGGTTAAAATAAAGGTTACATTCTCTTCAATAAAGGTTCCAAATTTAAAATTGGAGATTCACCAGTCTGACAAACTCACCAACCTTCCACCAAAGTGTCAGTAGTTCTTTGGAGTAACTTCAGTAGTTCCCTTGTCATTTCTAGAATCCCTTGACGGAGATGTCAAGGATACGCAATATATTTTTTCCATATACATAAGAGATTTGATGCAACTTCTAGAATTTTTTATCCCAACCATGCTGTCCCTGTTCTGTCCTGGTATCCGGGGAGCAGATGGGAAGGCAGACTTAAAACAAGACCAAAGTTTGGCTTTTACAAGAATTGTTGCAGGATTATCTTGCAAAAAATCATTGATTTTTTTTCTCTTTGGGTATGCGGAAACTGTGGGCTACCCGCACTGGGACAGATTCCCAACAATCCATTGCCACCCAAGTAGCTCACCACCATGACTGAGATAGAGACTCAATACCCTGCTGCCAGTTTAAGGCAGTGGGCCACCTGCACTATGATAAATGCTCAGCCTAAGGGCAGGGTCCAGAGGAGACTATAACATAGATCATCCAAAGGCAGAAGTCTTCAGCAATATTTGTAGGGAAGAGGAAGAAGAAATAGCTGATCAGGAAATGAAACATGTTAATTTTTCTTCATTTGCAACTTGGTATTTTAAATTGCCTGGACACGGAAATAAGGGAAGATTGTGCGGGCTGGATTACAAGCCATACTAATGTGCGTCCAATTTAAAAAGAATGAGGAGAAATCTGGCAGCTCCATTACAGATATTTCTGTGTATTTCCCTCAAATGTAAAGATATTCTTTACACCAGGGGAAGTAACAAAAATAATTTACTTCAACTATTTCAGTCCAAATATGAACTGTGTTATGGAAAAGCTCAGCAGGTCTGGCAGCGTCTTTCTTCACAGATGCTGCCAGACCTGCTGAGATTTTCCAGCAACTTCTGTTTTTGTTCCTGATTTACAGCATCCACAGTTCTTTTGGTTTTTATGAACTGCATTTTGTGCTGTGAAGGAACCGATTGAGATTCAGTCAGTTTGTTCGAGATTATTGGATCCTCACATAATGCAGAAGCAGAAAAACAAAGTAAATGGGCTGAATCTTACAAAACATCAACTACATGACATTTTTGCAAGTTCGTGAAAGTTTTGTCTGTGTGAGACCCCCTGAATTTTCTTTGCTGTCTTCCTAAATTTGCTTGAGGCTGCTATTGCATCCCATTCATCCTAGTTTCCCACTTGCTATGGGCAGAAGTACTAACTACTGCCGGGAAATCCTGGGATTTCTGGTATTGGCACCATATTTAAAAGGTCGTAGTGCACCCAATCAAATGTTGACAGTCTGGAGATGCTCTATAAAATTTATGTCATTTACTACAAATACAGCAAATAAGGTGTGAGTGTGAGTCTTTCAAAAAATAGTGAAAATACAGGGTCAACATGTTCCCAGAAAGGTGAAGGGTGGCAACAGGTCCATGAACATTGGTTGTTGCTGAATGTACAGGATTGGATAAGGAAAAAATGGGAAATTTATGGTAGATAGCCTGGACTTAAAAAACTGCAGGAGTATAGAAAATGCAGAGGATTATTAAAAGAAAATAGGAGAGTAAAGAGGGGGCTTGATAAAAATACTGGCAGGTAATATAAAGGAAAATCCATAGGCATTGTATAAATATGTTCAGAGCAAGATGACAACCAGAAAGAGTAGGGCCCAATAGAAACCAAAGTGGCAATCTGCATGGAGAAGCTGAAGATAAAGCCTTTCAATTAGTAGTATGCAACTGTATTCGCTATAAAGAAGGAAACTGTAGCTGTAGAAATCAGAGAACAGGGCTGTGATAAATTAAAACAAGTAATCATTGAAAGCAAGGAGGTATTAAAGGTTTCTGCAGGCTGGAAATTGAACAATTTCGCAAGCCCAGATGAGATATTTCCCAGGCTGTTGTGGGAAGCAAGAGAGGAGATGGGAGAGGCTCTGATATAAATATTTAAATCCTCTCCGGCCACAGAAAAGGTGCTAGAGGATCGGAGGACATTTAATGCTGTGCCATTATTCAAGATGGGTGGTAGGGATAGGCCACTGAGTCTAACATCAGTGGTAAAGAAGCTTTTTGGAATAAGTTCTGAGGCACAGTATTAATCTCCGTATGGAGAACCAAAGATTAATCAAAGGTAGTCACCATGGGTTTGTCAGGGGGTCATCATGTCTAACAAATTTGATTGAATCTTCTGAGAGGCAACCAGATGTGTAAGTTGAGGGTAATGTAGTTGATGTTATCTGTGTGGACTTCAGTGAGGTTTGTTGACAAAATCTCACATGGGAAACTAGTCACGACGTAAAAGCCCAAATGTTCCAGGGCAACTTGGCAATTTGGATCCAAAATTAGCTCAGTGGCAGGAGGCAAAGGGTACAGGTCAAGGTTTGTTTTCATGACTGGAAGCCCGTGTCCAGTAGTGTACCATAGGGTTCAATGCTGAGTTCCTTGTGTTTGTGGTATACATTAATGATCAAAATATGAATGTGGTAGGTTTGATCAGCAAATTCACAGAAGTCACAAAAATTGGTGGTATAATTTGCAAGGTAGAAAGCCTCACTTTTGGAGAATAAAAAAACGCTAGTCAGATGGGCAGAATAGCGGCAAATAGAACTAACCCTGAATAGTGTGAGATGATGCCTTTTCAGAGACAAACAAAGCAAAGGAGTACACGTGAACGATAGGACCCTGAGAAGTACTGAGGAACAGAGGGACCTGTGTGCATGTCCATGGATTCTTGAAGGCAACAGAGCAAGTACATATTTTGGTTAAGAAAACCTATGGAATACTTTATTAGTCAAGGCATAGAAAAGAAAGGAGGTTATGATGAATCTATATAGATGTCAGTTTAACCACTGCTGGAGTCCATGCAGTTCTTGTCATCACACAATAGGAAGGATGTGATTACACTGGAGGGTGTGCAGAGAATTTTAACCTGTGAAGAGAGACTAGATAGGCTGGAGTTGTTTTCCCTGGAGCATAGAAGGCTAGGAGGGTACTGGATTGATGATAATCAGGCAAAAAGGTAAATTCACGAGAATCCTGCTGGACTATACGCTGTTCTCTCATTAGAGAAAGTCAGAAGTCACACGACACCAGGAAATAGTCCAACAGGTTTATTTGAAATCACCAGCTTTTGGAATGCTGCCCTTTCATCAGGTGAAGTGAAGCGAGGCATCCAGGCACAGAATTTAAAATCAGAAAGATCAAAAGATCACACACATGGTGCGTGTGGAGTGTTGACAGGCTGAATAATAAGTCTCTGCAGGTGATCAAGAGTGTCAGATGGTGTGAGTAAAGTGTCAACAGCTAAATCACAAGTGAAGGGATGACCTATAATCTGATTAATTGAGGCACAGAGATAATTACAAAAAAAAACTAACGTGGTGCTAGAGACAGACCAAATAACTGGAATAACATGACAGGTATGAGTCCCATGCCAAGGGTCTAACTAAAGTAACAAGGAATCCAAAACTATACGAATTAATTAAGGTTGAGAGATCATAACAAGTTATCAAGGTGATGGTGGCAAAACAGGACAGTAAGGAAGATTTTACAGATACAGAACAGTGTGGTGGGATTACATGCAGTGCAGCATGAACCCAAGATCACATTTCAGGCCAAATTCATGGCATGGAACTTGGCTATCAGTTTTTGCTCAGCGATTCTGTGTTGTGTATTTCAAAGGCCACCTTGGAGGATGCTTACCCAAAGATCGGAAGCTGAATGTCCTTGACTGCTGAAGTGTTCCTGACTGGGAGGGAATGCACAGTGTCCATTCATCCATTGTCACAGCCTCTGCACGGTCTCACCAATATACCATGCGTGTGGGGGTTGGGATAAGGACATGTTGAACTTGATATTAAGTCCAGAAGGCTGTCGATTTGCCAAGTGGAAAATGAGGTGCTGTCTGAGGTGGATGTTGGTGGACAGCCTATCCCCAGAAATGTCGAAGAAGGAAAAGGAGAAGTCAGAGATGGACTAGGTGAAGCTGAGGATAAAATGGAAATTGGAAGTGACATTGATCAACCTTTCCAATTCCGTACAAGAGAGGGAAGCAGCCTTACCTATCATTGGTGAAATAAAGTGTGGACTTGGCGACCGCTTTGCCAAACACCTATGTTCGGTTGCAAAAAAGACCCTGAGCTTCCAGTTGCCTGCCATTTCAACACACCACATTGTTCCCTGGCCAACATCTCTGCCTCAGGCTTGCTGCAGTGAAGCTCGGCACAAGCTGGAAGAACAGTACTTCATTTTCCACTTGGGAACTCAACAGCCTTCTAGACTCAATGTTGAGTTCAACAATTTTCTGGATTAAGCTCTCCCATGTGCTTACCCCAAACCCGCACACACCAAAATTGTTATCACATGGTCTGCTATTACACAAAACCCATTGTTAACCACTAACAGTCTCCATTAACATCTCCTCACCATCTTAGCCTGATTGTTATCCATTCCTTTGTCTGTCCAACTGTTCTTCTCTCCCTTTGGGCTCAATCTCCACCTATCGTTTACTCCTTAACCCCTCCCTTCACCTTATCTCTGTCTAAAAGCTAACATTTTCCTAGCTGCCATCGGTTCTGAGGAAGGGTCACTGGACCCAAAGTGTTAACTCTGATTTCTCTCCACAAATGCTGCCAGACCTGTTGAACTTTTCCAGCAATTTCTGCTTTAGTTGTTGTTTATGTATTAAGTTCTCTACACTTAGAAGTAAACTTTAAGGATAAAATGTGACTGTGAAAAATTCTTGCCTCAAAATATTTCACTTACGTGAAACCTACAACATTCACCGTAGCATCTGGACGCACACTTTGGAAACTGTTTTCCAGCTAGAGAAATGGAAAGAAATGTTAGAAAAATGACATTCTAAAAATAAATGTATAAATAACAGAAGGGTGGCCAACTATATTCCTTATACAGGAATATAAATGTAAATATTTCCATATCAATAAGCAACAATATTGTGAAACAAAAATTGATGTAACAGGGCATGTAACAATGCCAACAGTTCATTAGATTTGTACCTATTTAAGTTTATAAGGTTTTTACTTGCTAGCAGACAAGTTGATTTGTTTACAGCTCAGTGAGGGAAACCATCAATTGGTAGAATGAGTAAAAACAAAACTTCATAGTTTTACAAGCTTTACCAACAAACAAAATTAAAAGAAATAATGTTTCATACTTGCAATGGTTAATTTTCAGAGCTAGAGAGGTTGATTGGCTGAAATTAATATTTACCACACTGTTAAAAGACCAGTTAGACCTATACTTAACTCTTTGTGGTCAGATCAGTTTACATCTTGATTGGAACATTACCTTATTCAATGAATGTCGATGAGTTGGTAGACAATACACTTTTTTGCAAAGCTAATGAAACAGCAGAGGTTTGCAAGCAGCAACATTTTAATGAAGTTTTGTTTTTATATTTTCTAATCAGCCTGTTCAGAGATGTTGTAATACACCTCTGGGGCAGGTAGGAATTGAACTTACGTCTCCAGGTTTGCAGAGAGAAAGAAAGAGAGAAAGAGACAACCACAAGATGCCACAAGGGCCCTGAACTTTGTTTTCATTCATTCACAGCGTGTTTACATCATTGTCAAGATCAGATTTTATGACTTGTCTTCAATTGTCCCCAAAAAGTATTCATTCAATAAAACTTAAGTTTTTCATTTTGCTAAGCCACTTTAAGAAGCATTTGAGTCAACTATTTTTTTAATATCTTGACTCACGTCAGCCAGATGAGGCAACAGCAGTAATTTCCTTCACTAAAGGACATTAATAAACCAGATGGGGTTTCTCCAACAGTCCAGTAGATTTGTGATCACCATTATTGAAACCTTTTTTTTCCAGATTTTTACTTAATTATCCAAATTTAAAAGTGCCAAATGCCATGATGAGGTTTGAATTGTGTTGCATGATCATTGATCCATCTTATGGAGACCAGTTGCATATTAACTTTGCCACTGTGCTTCATTATAATAGCCAATTTAAACATGCATTAAATAATCAAGATCACAGGTGCAGAAGGAACCAAAGCAAGAAGAATTTAGTACCATTAGTGAAGAAAATTAAGTTTTAGATTGCAACTGAGTTTTTCCAAAATAATATTTATTATTGGGCTTTGCTGGCTAGGCCATTCCTAATTGTCCTGGAAAAAAAATGACTCAATTATTCACCACATTCAGGACAGAACCAAATCAGGAAACAAATAATTGGTAAATAAATCAATTAAGATCTGGGTAGTTTCTATGCTTAAACCTAAATTTGCAAAACATTTAATAAAAATAATTCAGAGTAACCAGTCAGGTTAATATACTGCTAAAGCCAATTAGGTATATTTACATATTATTTAAAAACTCTGTAAATCTGTGTTATGCATTGCCTGAAAGATCACTTTCTGCAAGCTTTTTCATGGTAACATTTAAAATGGGAAGTTATATCTAAATTTTTCTACTGGAAATTAATGTGAAAGGATTTGTTGTCACAGTTAGTGAATTAGCAATTAAATTAATGTTTGCTTTAATCACAAGTATTACACACTGCATTTTCCTTTTTGAAATTTTAAAGTCTCAACGAATATTTTCACTTTAATGCAGCAGTAGGGACTTAGATCAAAACTTCTGTTGTACACTCCTGAAAGACAGGAGGTAATTCCAGCAAAAGACAGTATGAAAAAAGATTTTATTTTCAGTTTGTAATATTATCCACTCAGTTACATACCGCTGTCTTAAATTGTTTTGAGAGGTTTTTAAACATGGGTGAAGAAGGATCACTTAGTTCCTTTGTAAAATTTAGTCCGAGAACTCTGAATGCAAATTTCTGTCGTACTGCAAGAAGAAAAATTATTGTTTTACTATTTCAGCTACTAACAATGTATAATTGCTTTAAGATACTTTGTTCACTTTATAACACAATATTCAACAAAGAATTATGGGCAGAATTTTTCAGAAAGAACAATATGTAAAACTGCAACTCAGATTATTTAGCAAAATAGAATAATCAATCTGTGAAATTAAAAGATTCAGGATAGTATCTTACACTTGGTGTCAAATTAGGATCATGTGCACACAGCTTTTGTGTGTGATCAAAGGCCTTAGAGCTTCAAAGTGGTGTCTGTAACATGGGAAGTCCAACTTTTGAATGGGTTACACAGATACCGTATTTGTGATGGTCTTAGTATGCTGTCCCAATTGAGTTGCTGTAAATATGTACAGCAGGTACACCGTGAGTATCTTTTGTGGATACAGGACATCTTTCCTCTCATTCATTTCTAGCAAGCCCTCTAATGCTGTGTCTGAAACCCTGGATCCTGCTCTCCCTTATTATATGCTAGTCTTCAGTGTTTCACAGGTAAGTTTCACTTCTTGCATGAATACCAGCATCGGCTTAGTCGGCAGGGTGGCTAAAATGCGAGCGTTTCAGTCTTGACATCCTCCTGAAAAGTCTTATTGTAAAGAAAGATATCAGACTTGCTTCCCAGCACCTGAATGAAAATGGTTCCTGAGGCTATATAGGTAAAGAGAGAAGTCATTTCTGCAAATTTGGAATTGTGACGCCATGTATTCTGGTTCAGACCAGAGCAGCTCTCCAAACCATCCATATCTTGTCCTACATGATGTGCAAAAATGCCTTTAACATGCTCGATCTGCTCATCGCACAGATTCATTCTTTTCCAATGAATGCCTGTCTTATTTCATGCAATGTATACCTGCAGTATATCACCCTCAGGTTGATGCTGTACAAAATCTATCAAGAATGCACTCACACAAACCCTTCCTATCCATAAAACATAGATTGTTGGTGTGCAGGTATCACAAGGGCTAAGAAAGACAAATGGACTGTTACCATTTATGGTGGAGGGAATTGAATGTAAAAGTAGGGATCTGTTGGTACAGTGACATATGGTACTGATGAGAAAATCTGGAGTAATGTGTTTTGTTTTGGATACAAATCCATTAGAAACAGTTCAGCGAAGGTTCAGTCATCTGATACCTGGAATGGTACTGCTGGGGAAGGTGGGGGACATTATCTTATGAGGGACAGCTTACCATTAAAGTTTGGAAAAATAAGAGGTGATCTTATTTAGAAGCTTATTAAGATCCTGAGAGGATGGATAAGGTGGATGCTGAAAAGAAGCTTTCCTGTGGGAGAAACCAGAACTAGGATCCAGAGTTTAAGACCAAGGGTTACCTGTTTAAGATGGGAATCAGAAGAGTTTGTCTCTCTCAGAGCATCATGCATCTTTGTAAATCTCTTCTCCTCAAGTACTGGAAGCAGTGTCATTGAATATTCTTCAAATGCAGGTAGATAAGTTCTTGACCCTTACGGAAGGAGTCAAAGTATGTTGCGGGTAGGTAGAAAAGTGGAGTTGAAACCACAACAGGCTCGAAGGAACTGAATGGCCTACTCCTGCTCCATTATTTTTAATTGACCTGTGCAAAAATATTATTGCACAGCTCTGAAGCAGGTGGGACTTGAACCCAGGCCTCCTGGTTCAGAGGTAGGCATGTTAACATTGCATCACAACAGCCCCATTCATGTGTCTGTATATTGTAATAGAAAGTGCACCTGTGATAGCATTATGCAATTTCTGGCCTGAGATTGTGCAAATGGTTTCTGTCATATCCCTTAGATTTGGCTGGATTGCGGATCATATACATCCAGAATTGGGTGTGTCTTTGTGCTTTGGCTTTTCCTACATTCCTACATCTTTAGGTTCTAAATGGGATAGCTGAGGAGATTCCTAATGCACCAGCTACGTCTTTCAGAATTCCCTTGATTCTGAAAAAGTCCCAGCAAATTGGAAGTTAACAAGTGTAGTACATTTCAAGAAAGAAGGTAGAGAGAAAACAGGGAACTACAGGCAACTAGGTGCAGAGCTGGATGAACACAGCAGCCTAAGCAGCATCATAGGAGCAGAAAGGCTGACGTTTCGGGCCTAGACCCTTCATCAGAAATGGGGGAGGGGAAGGGGTGGAGCCAGTAAAGGTGAGTGTAGGTGGGGAGTTAGGGAGGGGATAGGTCAGTCCAGGGAGGACGGACAGGTCAAGGGGGCGGGATGAGGTTAGTAGGTAGGAGATGGGGGTGCGGCTTGAGGTGGGAGGAGGGGTTAGGTGGGAGAAAGAACAGGTTAGGGAGGCGGGCCGAGCTGGACTGGTTTTGGGATGCGGTAGGGGGAGGGGAGATTTTGAAGCCTGTGAAATCCACATTGATACCATTGGGCTGCAGGGAGTTCACCTAACAACAGTCATCAACTAAGTGCTACAGAACATTTTCAAGAAAGCCTGAATTTAAAAGGTCACACCATGATCAAAGTCTGCATGGTTTAACAAAAGATAAATCACGTTAGAAAAATTTATTTGCTTTTTATAGATGGAACTGATCAGGTTGACAAAGGGAAAACGTCAAATCTAGTATATACGAATTTTCAATATGAATCCATACAAAAGGTCTCATGGATTTGAGGGCAGGGACAGAGGCAGATATCACAGGCCCCAGTACAATTCCTGGCCCATCCCATTACAATTGGAAAGGACTTCATGAGACCACACATGGAATGCTCTGTGTAGTTTTGGTCTCCATAGTTAAGCAGGATATATTTACATTGACTACAAAAGGAATAAACATTGTTACCTAAATTAGCTTGCAAAGTCGTTGTTGTTGTTGTGGTCGTGGTTGTGGGTGCTGTTGTTGTGGATGTCCTTGACATTGTTGTGGGTGTCCTTCTTCTGGTTGTTGTTGACGTTGTCGTGGGAGTTGTACTTCTTAGTGTAGTTGTGGACGTGGTACTTTGCGTGGGGGTTACCATTACAGACATGGGCATACAGAAAATCCCTTCTGTTGGTTCACTCCTGATGCATTCACAGGTCTGGCCATCTGTGATATTCCCACTGCAAGACTGGTATTTACTACAAAATATCGAGTTCCAAATAAATCCACCTTCGCACATGCACTGAGTTTCATTGTTCACATTCTGACAAACTAAGTGAAAATAAATGTCATTAGAACATTTCTATTTGTCGATGGGTGAGAAATAAGTTTATGTAATACCAATCAAATATATTAAAACAGTTGCAAACAACGATTCTCAGTGGCTTTATGAACGATTTTAATCAGGAAACCCATATAGGTCATATAACATTGTGAAGTGTTGCTTTCCCCCAGAGCAGCAACACTTCAAAAACAACTTTCTCCTCCATGGTTTCCATATACATTGAAAATAATTATTTTCCCTATCACTCAGTAACAGAGTGAATATGTATGTAATAAATCTAACAAATCAATGATATTTAAATTTCTTGAGACATTAAGTGTAGAGATCTGTAAGTTCAATCCAGCTGTTAAGTGCTCAGATGTGGAAAAATGTTTGTTAACAAAGAATATTTTTACTAAAGTTTTAAGTAAATTTTCATTTAATAAAAGGAGTCAGAAACAGGAATTGTTTGATAAATGACATTGTTTATAAAAACTAAATACCAAATTACCCTTGAAATGAATCATTTCCTTAATCTCATTGTAGTGAAATGAAACAGCAATAATATTCAATTAATTCTTAACATTTATTTAGTGTTTCTTTATTTAATAGGAATTGAGATACATAATGCATGTAATATTCATAGTAATGGTCCAGATTTTGTGGTTGTATCGTTCACAAGACTACTTCAATTTTGTGATTTTTGCAATGATAGGAACATAGGAACAGGAATAGACAAATTACCTCCTCAAGCCTGCTGTGCCACTCAATGACATCATGGTTGATGCAAATCCTGTAACACGTTTCGGAGACCACAAATCAATCATTCTCAAGTTTAAAACTAATAATTGATCGGTTGTCATTTGTAAGGATGGTTGCGACTTTGTAGGCATGGAAATGTTTTCTAGTTTCATTCTTGAAATGTCAGGATCAAACTTTTTAATCATGCCCCCAAATCTAACAGTTCCTATTACCAGGAATAGTTTCGATCTACTTACCCACTCAAATTTTCTCAATATTTTGAAAACACCTATCAAATCACCCCATAACCTTATAAATTTAAAGAACTTCATCTGTCTGTGTAACGTCTCCTTGTTTTCTGATCCTTAGAATCAAGATTCTGAAGACACTGGCTCTCATTGCCTCAGTGTAAAATGTTAATGTGGCATCGTTAGTGTACAGTAACTCTCTCTAACAACACTCAAGAAGCTTGAAACCATCCAGGACAAAGCAGTCCACTTGACTGGCACCACATCTAAAAACAAATAGTCAATCTCTGCACTACTAATGCGAGTGGCAGTGCATACCATCTACAAGAAATTCACCAAGGCTTTTTAGACAGCACCTTCCAAACTCACTACCATCTGGAAGGACAAGGGCAGCAGATACATGGAAACACCACCACCTGCAAGTCCCTTTCCAAGACTCACTATCCTGACTTGGAAATCTGTCACTGTTCCTTCATTGTCAAGGGGTCAAAGTCCTGGAAACCCTCCCTAGCACCATTGTGTGTCTACCTACAGCAAGTGGACTGCAGTGGTTCAATAAGGCAGCTCACCACCACCTTCTCCAGGGCAACTAGGGTTGGGCAACAAATGCTCTCCAGCCAGCAATTCCACATCCTATGAATGAATAAAGAAAATGCTGCCAGTAAATCAGTGTTTCACCTGGTAGAGTTTGGGGCATTGAACGGTGAGATGAGAAGATGTAGAGGAGCAGTTGTTTCTCCTTAACTTGCATGAAAACATACTGGAGAAAATGGAGGGATAGTTTGCTGGGACTGAGGAGTAGACCAGAATTATATGGACAGAACAGTCCCCTCACAGCACTGAAATGGGGAGAGGTGGGTAGCTATAGTCAGTAGCGGAAATGGCAGAGAATGATTGATTGCTGAGGCTAAAGGGATAGCAAATCCCATTGCCATTCAGAAGGGAGGGCAAAGAGAGAAAGCAAAAGTGTGTGAAATACAATAGACATGGTTGAATGCTCTGTCAATTACATTGTGCCAAAGGTGAGGATAAAGGACATACTGGAAAAGCTATTATGCAAGATTGCATTTTCTGAACAAATAAAGCAGAAATTGAGAAACTGGAAGAATGGGATAAAATATTTACACCTGTAAGAACTGTGCCTTTTTATTTTTGTGTGTTGAAGAACTGACGGCTGCAATGGGAAAGAGTTGGTTTGAAATCAGGGATTTGCCAGGAAGGCTGGATAATTTTACAGCAATGAATTCAATACCTGTTGTGAACTCTGCAGGAACCCATTGCCACAAAACAATGTGCAGATGATAAGGAGCTGAGGGGTTGTTTACAAGTGAAGCTGATTGGTTGTCAGCTAACTGAACAGCTTGGAACTGGAAACAGGTTACGAGGATGTAGGCACACAGAAAGGTGCGTTGTTTTTCTCCCAGCAGAAGTTGTCAGTTCTCTGCAGTCATAATGCAGCTTAACTTTGAAGAACAGTTTCTGCTACAGTTGCTGTGAGCTCTAACTTTTGAAGTGACAAATCAAAGATTTTTTGCAAGTGAATCAATCACTTTGTACTTCTTACAAACTAGAGGAAACTTCTGGGGAAAGACAACTGAAAACTAAAAATCTGGCTGGCTGAAGATGGATAATCTCAACATTGGAATTGGAAAGCAAAGATCACTGAAATGAGTTTCCAGTTTTTCTCTACGTCTGCCTCTCAGCTATTTGCCTATATGATATCTGTGTGCATGTGTAACGAGAAGGTTTTGCGGAGATTAGAGTTTTAGGTCATTGTGTTAAATAATGTTTAGTACAGAAACCTGGTCCATGCTTTCTCATAAACATAATCTGAAAGTCAGATAAATTGGGATACTGCACGTATCTGTACTACCTTAAAAAAAACTTTAATATTTGGCACAACTCCAGAAGTAGTGGAGCTTGATTTACATCATGTTACCCCAATGGGTCATGAAACGGAAATGCTGTGGGACAAAGTATAGATATGACAGCTATGGAGTTAGTGAATGTCAGCCGATAAACTAGGAAAGCAAAGAACAGAATTTAGGGAAGGGAAAAGGACCAAAGACAGACTAAATGAAGAAGAGCAAATGGTGGAAATTGGAAACAAAGTTGATGAAATTTTCTAGTTCAGAGGAAGAACAGAAAGGGATACCAATATAGATGTAATGTCTGGGAAAAAAATGTTCAAGTGTGCCCAGAGTAGAATTGGAACAGGAATTATTTCACATATACCAATAAAGGCAGGCACGTAAGACAACAACATTAATTACAGGAAATAAGTGGACTTGAAGGGCAAGTTGTTCAATGTGATAGCAAGTTGGGAAAAGAGGATGATGATAGCCAGGCACTGATTGTTCCTCTCTTTTAAGAAAGAAGAAGAGTTATCAAAATGTCCTAGTGGAGGATGTAGGTGTAGGAAACCAGGCACCAATGGAGAAAAAGATATGGTTAGGTGTAATAAAGTGGGACCTTTTAAAATGATGGAAAGCTCAAAAGAATCCAGTTATAGATATAAAGATACTGGTTAAATGGAGAAGAAACGAGTATGTTTGGAAGAAAATTATTGTTCAGCGGCGGGAGTTGGGGGAAAGCGCGAGGGCAGCCAGGAAGGTAAGCTTTAGTTTAAAAGACTTACCTCGTGAGACTGTGGACTTCATTGTTCAGCAGCGGAGTTGGGAGAGTGCGAGGGGACTGCTGGGTAAGTAAAACCATCTCTTCTGGCAGTGGCTAAACCCGAAACACTACATGTGTGGTGTGACTCCCACCCATCCTCCTCCTCTAACCAAAAAAATAGACTCTGTGTGAAGGGTCAGTAAGGCAAGTTGTTTTTTTCCCTTCTTTTTCTTTCTTTTTCTTTCGCTTTTGTTCGGCGGGAAGCTGTCAGAGGGAGGAGCAGCAGAGCAGAGGTGAGTATAAGAGCACCAGAGCTCGGCCCACGAGCTGCAAAAAAAACTGGAGTGATGTCACAGGGAGGCTGTGACCTGATTGGTTGGTGGGAAATCTGCACTAAGTTTGAAAAAGAACCCAGGAAAGTAGTATCAGCAAATTTAATTAACTCATAATAAATTATATAAATTAATAAAGTAATTAACTAAGTAGAAATGGCTGGACAGGTGATGTGTTGTAGCTGTATGATGTGGGAGCTGGCTGATCCCATTGCGAACTGCAGTGACCACATATGCAGCAAGTGTTGGTTGCTCGAGGAACTTCGGCTCGGAGTTGATGAGCTGGAATCTGAGCTTCAAACACTGCGGCACATCCGGGAGGGAGAGAAGTATCTGGACAATTTGTTTCAGGAGGCAGCCACTCTTGGTAGATTAAGTACTTCAAATTTGGTTAGTGGCCAGGGACAGCAGGGTGTGACTGTAAGCGAGGCAGGTAGAGGGACCCTGCAGTCAGGAACAGAGGAGCCTCAACTCTTGACCTTGTCCAACAGGTACGAGGTACTTGCTCCCTGTGTGGATGAGGAAAAGGGCTGTAAGGAGGATGAGCCAACTGACCACTGCACCGTGGTACAGGAGGCCATTCAAGAGGCGAGAGCAAAACGACAAGTGGTAGTTGTAGGGGATTCTATAATTAGGGGAATAGATAGTATCCTTTGTAAACAGGATCAAGAGTCTCGCATGGTGTGTTGCCAGCCCGGTGCCAGGGTGAGGGATATCTCTGACTGGCTTGAGAGGATATTGGAGTGGGAGGGGGACGATCCAGAACAAACAAGATAGGCAAGACTAGGAAAGAGGACCTGTTCAGACATTATCAGGAGCTAGCAACCAAATCAAAGAACAGGTCCTCAAGGGTTACAATCTCTGGATTACTGCCCGAGCCATGTGCTAATTGGCATTGGGACATGAGAATGAGGGAAGGAAACACGTAGCTAAAAGAGTGGTGCGGGAAAGTGGGGTTCCCTTTCATGGGGCACTGACATCAGTATTGGAACAGGAGAGATCTGTACCATGGGGACGGTCTCCATTTGAATCAAGCTGGGACCAATATTTTAGCAAAAAGGGTAAATAGGCTGGTCGACAGGACTTTAGACTAGAAAGTGAGGGGAGAGGGAATGGTGAAACTTGCCCCAGTGGGAAACAAAGCAGCAGGTTAACATCTGTAGTGGTGGATTCAACTACGTGGAAAAATATGAAAGAAATGACAGGGAAGGAGAACTCGGGAGAGGTTATTAAAGTCCCCAACACAGACACAAATAGGACAGAGTGTTTGGAAAGGGCTAGCAATCAAACTTCAAACACACTGGATAAACAAACGACAATGAGAAGAGGGACGGTTAATACAGGACTGAAAGTGTTACATCTGAATGCACTCAGTATAAGGAATAAGGTAAATGAGCTTGTGGTGCAGATTGAAATTGGCAGGTATGACATGGTAGGCATCACAGAGACATGGCTGCAAGGGGATCAGGATTGGGAGCTAAATATCCAAGGATATACATCCTATCGGAAAGGTAGGCAGGTGGGCCGAGGGGTTGGGGTTGCCTTATTGGTAAGAAATGAAATTAAATCAATAGAAGTAGGGTCAGATGGTGTAAAATCTGTGTGGGTAGAATTGAGGAACCGCAAAGGTAAAAAAACCATAGTTGGAGTTGTGTACAGGCCTCCAAACAGTACTCAGGAGCTGGGGCGCAAGATACACCAGGAGATAGAAAAGATGTGTAAGAAAGTCAAAGTCACAGTGATCATGGGGGATTTCAATATGCAGGTGGACTGGGAAAATCATGTTGGTAGTGGATTGCAAGAAAAGGAGTTTGTGGAATGTCTACGAGATGGCTTTTTGGAGCAGTTCTTGGTGGAGTCTACAAGAGAACAGGCAATACCAGATTTAGTGTTGTGCAATGAGGAAGACTTGATAAGGGAGCTTAAGGTAAAGGAACCCTTAGGAGGCAGTGATCATAATATGATAGAATTTACTCTGCAATTTGAGAGGGAGAAAATAGAATCAGAGGTAACGGTATTACAGCTGAATAAAGGCGACTACAGAGGTATGAGGGAGGAGCTAGGCAGAATTGACTGGAAGAGGAGCCTAGCAGGAAAGACAGTGGAACAGCAATAGCAGGAGTTTCTCGGAGTAATTCAGGAGACCCAGCAAAAATTCATCCCTAGGAAAAAGAACCACGGTACAGGGAGGATGAGACAACCATGGCTGACTAAGGAAGTCAGGATTAGCATAAAAGCACAAGAGAAAGCATATAATGTGGTGAAGGGCAGTGGGAAACCAGAGGATTGGGAAGCTTACAAAGACCAACAGAGGGCAACAAAAAAGAAATAAGGAGGAAAAAGATTAAATATGAGGGTAAACTAGCCAGTAATATAAATGAAGGCTGTAAGAGTTTCTTTAGATATATAAAGGGCAAAAGAGAGGCAAAAGTGGACATTGGACCACTGGAAAATGATACTGGAGAGATAGTAGCGGGGAACAAGGAAATGGCTGAGGAACTGAATAATTACTTCACATCAGTCTTCACGGTGGAAAACACAAGTAATATCCCAAAAATTCAAGAGAGTCAGGGGGGAGAGCTGAGTATGGTGGCCATCACCAAGGAAAAGGTGCTAGTAAAACTGATTGGCCTGAAGGCGGACAAATCACCTGGACCAGATAGACTATACCCCAGAGTCCTTAAGGAGGTAGCTGAAGAGATAGTGGAGGCATTAGTGGTGATCTTTCAGGAATCACTAGAGTTAGGGAGGGTCCCAGAGGTCTGGAAAATCATTAATGTCACACCCCTTTTAAAAAGGGAGTAAGGTAAAAGACAGAAAATTACAGGCTGATTAGCCTAACCTTGGTCATGGGTAAGATTTTGGAGTCCATTGTGAAGGATGAGATTTCTGAATATTTGGAAGTGTATGGTAAAGTAGGGCAAAGTCAGCATGGTTTCATCAAGGGGAGGTCATGCCTGACAAATCTGCTGGAATTCTTTGATGAAGTATCGAGCAGGGTAGACCACGGAGAGCCAATGGATGTTAACTACCTGGACTTCAAGAAGGCCTTTGACAAAGTGCCGCACAGGAGGCTGCTGAGTAAGATAAGGGCCCATGGTGTTAGAGGCAAGGTACTAGCATGGATAGAGGATTGGCTGTCTGGCAGAAAGCAGAGAGTGGGGTTAAAAGGGTCTTCCTCAGGATGGCAGTCGGTGACAAGTGGTCTTCCACAAGGGTCAGTGTTGGGACCACAGCTTTTCACTTTATACATTAATGATCTAGATGAAGAAACTGGACATTCTGGCTACGTTTTCACACGATACAAAGATAGGTGGAGGGACAGGTAGTATTGAGGAGGCGGGGAGGCTGCAGAAGGATTTGGACAGGTTAGGAGAGTGGGCAAAGAAGTGGCAGATGGAGTACAACGTGGGAAAGTGTGAGGTCATGCACTTTGGTAAGAAGAATAAAAGAATGGACTATTTTCCAAATGGGGAGAAAATTCAGAAGTCTGAAGTGCAAAGAGACTTGGGAGTTCTAGTCCGGGATTCTCTCAAGGTAAATTTGCATGTCGTCAGTAGTCAGGAAGGCAAATGCAATGTTGGCATTTTTTTTTGAGAGGACTTGAATATAAAAGCAGAGATGTACTACCGAGGCTTTATAAGGCTCTGGTCAGGCCACATTTGGAGTATTGTGTGCAGTTTTAGGCCCCATATCTCATGAAGGATGTACTGGCCCTGGAGCGGGTTCATAGGATGTTCATGAGAATGGTCCCAGGAATGAGAAGCTTAACATATGAGGAACGTTTGAGGACTCTGGGACTATACTCATTGGAGTTTAGAAGGATGAGGGGAGATCTAATTGAAACTTACAGAATACTGAATGGCCTGGACAGAGTGGATGTTGGGAAGATGCTTCCATTGTTAGGAGAGCCTAGGACCCGAGGGCACAGCCTTAGAGTAAAGGGAAGACCTTTCAGAACAGAGATAAGGAGAAACTTCTTCAACCAGAGAGTGGAGAATCTATGGAATTTATTGCAACAGAAGGCTGTGGAGGTCAGGTCATTGAGTACATTTAAGACTGAGATAGATAGGTTCTTGATTATCAAGGGGATCAAGGGTTACGGGGAGAAAGCGGGAGAATGGGGTTGAGGAACTTACCAGCCATGATTAAATGGCGCAGCAGACTCGATGACCGAAAGGCCTAATTTCTGCTCCTATGTCTTATGGTTTCATGGTCTTAAGAGGCTGAAATGTTGAGTTTAACTGGACAGACCTGTTTGTGGATTTTGGAACAATGCTGTTTAAGGCTGGGCCATAAAGAAATTGGAGGAAATGGAGGGAAGATCTCCAGAGAAGATCAATTCTGCAACAATCCTGGAAACAGGGGTTTGATGATTGGTGGTGGGAACACAAGTCCACTGGAAGGTAGGAGCAAGTGATGAGTTGGCATTCAGCCTCTTTGAGGTAACCGTCTGTGGCCCAGACAACAACAAGATCACATTTGTCAGTGGGTTTGTTGATAATGACATGGTAGCTCTAGTGACGCAGCAGAAGAATGTAGTAAACCAAAATGTATCAACTGCATTTGAGAAGCCACAAAGGACTTCCTTTGTGTCATAATTTTTATGAACCAAGCTTAAGAGGCTTTTCAGCTAAACTGACATGTAGATTAAAATCAAATTGTCTTATGAAAAGAACAGAATTGAAAGTATTGGTTATATTTTACCACATCACAATTAACCAAAGGCCAACTTTAAATCAGAATGAAATGTACTATCTTTGCAAGATTTATATTACATTTAGGTTTTTGATATATTTCATTTACACTCACCTGTTGTGATCGTGATGTTAGTAATATTTAATGTTCCATTTTCAAAATGGACTGATGTGGGATACGAGTTATTTTTCAGGTAGAATTTCAGCTTATCATCACTTAAAGTTTCTGTTATGTTTAGTTCAATGTCCAGCTGGTATTCCTGTTGTTGAAGAACTGCAGTGTTCAACAAATAAAAGGAAGAGTTAGATCAATGCCAAAATAATTAACTACCATTTAAGATCAAAACATTCAAACCTGTTCAACACTTTACCATCAGCAAAAATAAAACATCAATCAAAATGCTGAGGAAACTCAGCTGCTAGCTCCATCTGTAGAGAGATAAACGGAGTTAGTATTGCGTGTAATACAGGTCTTGTTTATTTTTCATTAGTACTGAGGTCTCTCAGGCAATTCTAGTTAGACTTTATACCAAAGCTCCTGGCTCCACCACAGTGAGAAAGGTATTTGTTTTATCCTCATTGGCTATTTTATTTGCCATCAGCCAAATGTGAAACCTTCATTTATTATTACTCAAGCCCCCTTTGTTAAAGGTGACTTATTATTAAGGTTTTGGAGTAGATTTGTTACTTGATTTGTGGGTGTTGTGCTTGGTTGGCTCGCCAAGCTGGTTCGTTGTTGTTCCGCAGACGTCTCATTACCATGCTGGGTAACATCATCAGTGCAGTCTCCGATAAAGCGCCGTTGTGTTTTCCCGCCTGGTTTTTAAACTCTGGAGTCCGTTGAGCTGGATTACCTCACTTCCAGTTTTCCTTCATAGTGGAGTGTATATGGGGTCAAATTCTATGTGTTTGTTGATGGCTTTCTTCGTGGAGTACCAGGCTTCTAGGAATTCCCGTGCCTGTCTCTGCTTTGCTTGTCCCAGGATTTATTATTACTCAAGCCCTCTTTGTTAAAGGTGAATTCCCCAATTTTTCACAAGTATTGTTCCATTTTTATCATTCAATTACAAACTGTGCTGAATTAACTGAGCAGTTTGTAAGTACGTATGTGCACATGAAATAACTTTAAAAGTGTGTCACAATTACTTGAATCATTGTTTTAAAATATTTATCTTAGCCTTACTGTCATCTTTCTGTGATGTACTCAACTGAAAAAGGTTCTTGTGGATTCAACTGAAAGCTGCCGTATGAAGCACACTTTATTTTCAGCCCTGCAACATAGAGGCCAGCGTATTATAATAAAATCAACTTTTATAATAAACTGCATTCAGGACATCCCTGTTTAAATAAGTCCATTATTAATGTCCAGCACAGTGAAATATTTTGCCCTTGGGGCCTGCCTCATCATGATTTCAAGACTGAACAGCACACAGACACTGTTGCTGAATTAAAACAGGTCCTAGCACAGGCCCCAACACTGCAGGTACACCACCTAAAACTTTCTTTCGCTTTGGAAGTTGCAGCCATGTACATCACACTGGCAGTTATACATCTCCAAGAATGACACAATAAGCTTGGACTGGTAGCCTCTGCCTCCCGGATACTTTCACCAGTACAGCAGAGATTCTCTACGTGTTGGAAGTTCTTGGTAACCATGCTCTGGACAGTACAACATTTTGCTTGAATTGTTGGCCTGAAACCCCTAACCATGCTGATGGTGCACACCCCCATTCACCTTTTCACCCATTCACCCATTCAACGTTTGCTGGACAGCAGGATTAAAGACAGTACTGTCAGCCAAAACCGCATTGCGCACTGGATCCTAATGTTATAGGTTTGTGGCATTGTGGTCAAATGTACCAAAGTGCTAACTGCCTAGCCGACAATTTGAGCTACAGAAGAGGACCCCATGAGTGTCAGGTAGTGGCAAATGTTCCCAAAGGATCATTTGTGTCAAAACAAAATGGGGGAAGACCCAAGGGAACCTGGGGAGCAGAAGAGAGACCCCTGTAAGGGTATTTGTAGACGGATCCTCTATGATGGAAGATGGACACTGAAAGACAGGATGTCATAAGAAATGGAGAACCACAGAGGTGAACTCCCAATAGAATTAGTGCTGAAGCTCCCAAGCAAGATGAGCACTCAGGCAGCTGAGCTGGCAGCTATAGCCTATGTGGTCAGTCACCCTGAAACATTCCCCCCCACCAGCAGATGTAAACTCAGACAACATGGATGTCTACGACAGTGTAACTGATAACCTGCCACCACGGGAAGCTAGAGGTTTCATCTCAACTGACAGGAAACCATTACCGACTGCACTCTTCTCAAATTTATTCTCCAAGTCAGCGAATATGGCATCATTAAGGTGACAGTTCACCACTGAACTTCTCCAGCTGGGAGCGTAAGGACAGATGAATTTGTGAAGCAGAGTGCCCACGAAGGAGAACCAATGGCAACCCACCCCCAATCCGGAACAAACAGATACCATCTCTGTGAGCCAAACCAAGACTGAAATCTGGTACAGGCTCAGAGCAGAGACGCTAAGTTAAAGCAAGTACTGGAGTGAACGATCCCCACCTCGTACAACAAGTGGGCGGACAAGTTAAATACTAAGGATGGACTTGTTCTCAACGTTGGATAATACGTGGCACTAGTCCAGAACTGAAATTAAGTGATTTATCAATGCCACAAAGTTCAGGATCTTCAAGGGACAGGAGCCAAAACTGACAGAATTAAGGGATTGTGTTGGTGGCCAGCAAGGGGAAAATACATAAAACATACGTTGAGAATTGTATTATCTGTGCCTGGAGCAACCCAGACAAGTAAACCAATAAAGGATAGGTAAGGCATACTCAACCAATTGCAGGCCTATCGACTGAACGCTAAATAAACAAGGTCAGCCCCTACCACCTTGCAAGGGGGGATATAAGTATATCCTTGTCACTGTGGACATTTTACCAAGTGTGTAGAGGCATATATAAACCCTTGAAATTGCAGTATACATCTTATTTCACCACATTTTCACTCATTGAGGTCTTCCCACAATATTGATTCAGACGAGGGAACCCATTTCACAGCCCAGGTAATGCAGGCCATAATGAATACATTTGGCATCAACCAAAGGTTCTACATTGCCTACCATTCTCAATCCAGCAGGATGGTAGAGAGGATGAATAGCACTCCTCAAAGGGATGCTGCGAAAAGTCAATATCTAGGAAAACAACTTGACCCGGAATGTAGTTTTACCCTTTGTCCTCATGGTCAGAAGGAAATCACCATCCAGTTCAACTGGATTTACCCTCATCCCTTCCGCATTCTAATGACCGGATGCCCCATGAGAGGGTCAAACCCTTGGTTGGGCTGGGCTTGACAGAGCCCCAGGCTGAAGTCCTCTGCCATGAGAAAACTGAAAATTCTATTAGAAGATGTACAGGTTGTGCACAGAGCAGTGGGGATCAGAATGGTAAAAAGGAAAAAGGGGAGCAAGGTGTACTGTGGTCGGAAGGTGAACCCTGTAGTATCCGGAGTACAGCAGCAGATGATGTTACAAGTTTTCTATTCAGGAACATTCCTTTCCCTGAGATATTCATGTGTCCACTCGATGGTGGATAAGGCCAGCTGTCTGTGTACAGAATTTTGCTAGATACAGGAAAAGCTGGGTAGGATTGTGTTAATCAATTAAAGGCCTATAGAAGCCAAAGTAACAGTCAGCAACACCACATGCTCCTAGGGGAAGTAGGGAATGCAAACACTAACCCAAGTCCTGATCTAGATCCAGACCAGTCATTGATCCAAACCCAATCCAAATTCCTGATACCGATCCAGGATCAGCCCCAGTTACTGGTCCAGGTCAGGATCCTGGACAATGTCCCCCTTGAGGCTCCAACCTTGGGAACTGAACCAAAGCTGGCCCCACCAATTCCAGCCAAAAGAGGAAAGGCTTCAGGGCACAGCAGCCCTGAAGTAAAAGGGATGGTCATAGACAGTCTGCCCAAGAAAGTATCCTATGTTGCACCCTAGCCTAGAGACAGAGACAACCCCTTTACGAAGGCAGTCATTCAGATGCTCCCCGGCAGCCAAGTATTCCCACCTAGTCGGGGGACCTGATTCTCTCTCTCACCCCAACCTGGTACTTCACGAACCCATCCTGGTCATACAGGAACATTGTCATAATCCTCTGTTACCACTGCAGTCTGAATCTGCCAGTCCATACTGGTCATATAGGGATACAGCACCATACAGTATGATAAATAGCATCATCATCATTTTCTTCATTTGGGCCATCTTCATCCTTTTGCCATTTCTCGTCATCTCATTTTCATGTTATTCAAATCAAAGGCCTTTTTGTCTTCTGGCCATTTTTCATCTCGTCATCTAAATTTTAATCATCTGAACCTCTGATGGTGCCTATGCACTGACCCACTTCCAATCCCCATTTTGGATTCACAGAGGTCAAGCCTCAGGTGAGGCTTGACACAGACAATTGATCGACAAAAGGGGAATTGGGAGAATTCAATAAAAACAAATGTCGGGAGGAATTCTGCCGAGCATCAGCCAAGACCAGACACAGTTAGAAAAAAGCTTCTACAGACAGTGAAGGGTACAGAAGGATCGAAACTTGGTCAAATGTCTAAGGATAATAACAGATGCTACCTTGATCTCCTCTCCAGGATAGTGACATACAGCCTGTTGGTCTACATCATCTGCTGGATTTTCAGGATACAATCGTTGGAAGCGTTTATTGGGCAAGAGTACACATACCTCGGCTGGAGGTGGTTTGCCCCACCTGAGGCAGGCAAATGTGAGGATGGTGTTTTGTGGGTCCATTCCAACGAATGTGAGATGTTCGAGTATAGCAACCAACTGGTTGTGTATAGGAGGTCAAATGGGAGCTAAGGTGGGAGCTCAATGGGAACAAATACCATGGGTGACTGGTGACGCTTTTCCATAGACAGATGTAAAGAAATGGGATGTTTGGCTACCAGAGAAAGGGCTAGAGACACCAAATCAAAATGGGTATAGGTCATTGAGGTGGAAAGTGTAGGCACTATCCAAGAGGGAATATGGTTAGAAAATAATGGCATTCTTCTATACACTGTTATGAAAGAGGGACATCTCAAAGGTACCACTCTGGATAGATGTCAGTAGACAAAACTAGTAATTGTGCATCCCTACTGCATATCTTCAGATGAACATGCCTTTTGTGGTTTTCAGGCAAATGCTATTCTAAATTGGACCACAGAGATCTGGAGCCTGAACACAGACATCACCATGGTAATGTATAGGGAGAACAGAGAATACTGAAAAAAAAAACAGAAGAACTGCGGATGCTGTAAATCAGGAACAAAAACAAAGTTGCTGGAAAAGCTCAGCACGTCTGGCAGCATCTGTGAAAGAAAAACAGAGTTAACACTTCGGGTCCGGTGGCCCTTCTTCGGAACTGATGGTGGCTGGGAAAACATCAGTTTATATGCAGAAAAAAGGGAGAGGGATGGGGTAGGGAGTAAACGATAGCATAGAACCTAAAGGGAGAGGAGAGCAGTTGGACAGACAAAGAGTTGATAACAATCAAGCTGGGAGGGTGATTAGTTGTTAATGGGGACTATTAGTGACTAATAACAGGTAGTGTGTAATGGCAGGCTATGTGGTAACAAGGCCTGGTGTGTGGGCTAGGGGTCTAGGATATAGGAGAGCTTAGGCCCTAAAATTATTGAACTCAATATTGAGTCCGGAGGGCTGCAGGGTCCCCAAGTGGAGAATGAGGTGTTGTTCTTCTAGCTTGCATTGAGCTTCGCTAGAACATTGCAGCAAGCCAGAGATCATAGCTTCCCTAAAATACTACCAGTACAGGATCTTCACATGTAACATCAAAAACACCACCTTTTGTATTTGACCATATATACCAGCCAGGGTAGGCCTAACTGAGCTCAGACATCCACAGAGGAGTGAGATCTTTTTCAATGTCAGTGACAAACTCAGACAAACTTTAGGGGATTACTGGGAGAAGTATGACACTGACATTGAGCTCCTACCAGCAAAGATTACAGCAGGTTTGGACACAATTGGCAGATGCTCATAAAGTTTTTGCTACTGTTATTCAGAAGACAGAGCAAATTCAAAAGAATATCAGGGAAATCAAAATGACTAATTTGGAGGCGGGTGGATGATTTCTGGGACCAACAGATACAACGGTGGGTATGTGTCCTATCACATTTGACTGTGTAAACCATCCTATTTAGTTTGATCTACCTCACTGTCTTCTCAGTTAAATTTGTCCACTAGATGAAGAAATTTATCCACAAGCTAACTATAGATTCTATGAGTTCTGAGGAAGGGTCACCGGACCTGAAACGTTAACTCTGTTTTCTCCTTCACAGATGCTGCCAGATCTGCTGACCTTTTCCAGCAACTTTGTTTTTGTATGGATTCTATGCACCTACAATAGGAGCCAAGAAATTAATTAATCCAGACTTTGTCACAAAAGGACTATGTAAATTGTTACGCAGTATGAATTTTACACTATCAAGTGCTGCTAATCTGAGCCTGTGATCCAATTTTTGCTAGATTAACAGAAGGGTCTGTGGTCAAGTGCCACAGTCCCAAAACTGGGCAATCTAAGCTGAACCACAGCCAGAGAAATCAGGCTTGACTGAAATTGGCCAAACTAAATTAAACTGCAACCGGCAGTTATTAGCTACAGAGAACAGTGGAAATTAAATTCAAAGAAGTTGCAGAAGGTCAAAGGTAACACTTACAGCCAGCCCAAGAGTTGTGTATTGGAAAACAGTCAGTCAGACCGTCTGGCATCTTGATTACCTGAGTATGAGCATTTTGCACCTCCTTGGCATGGCAACAGTGAAGGATGTTGGCACCACACCATTGGATGATTTAAACCCAGCTCATGACCCCATTGGCCAAAGGCTACAGAAGATTCTGGAAGGCCTGGGGTGAGGAGGATATAAACATACACCTGAAACAATCCCCTCAGCAAAGACTTGTGGCGGAAGGCTAAAAGTCAATCCAAGAAAACCCAGGAGAAGATCCACCCTGACCTGCGAGACCCACCTTCGTGGAATAGAGCCAGCCCTATGTTGGAGATTGCAATGGTCCAACTCAAACATGTGGATCATGCAGGTATTGCCCTTTCTCAGATGGATAGAGCTAGATAGAGAGTAAATATTGTGGGAATTTGGGAAATGCACACATGGTGTTTTTAAAAAGGAATATTTTGCTTATTAAAATCAAATTGAACCGAAAAATGAACTTTGCATCATTTTGTCCGCCTCGCTGACAACAGGGCTTGGGTAACGTTTTTTTTTTACATAAATTGGTCCAAGTGTCCAAAGCACAGACATCACTGTACACCATCTTTCTGATCCTCTTCCCTAAGCTCAAATTGATAGACAATAAATTGGGTATTTGATTGACTGATATTCATCACCCTGTCTTCCAGAGCTTTTCTCCATTTCTCCAGATGCTTGTTCATAATCCCCACCATGTAGTGAAATGTGTCATCTGCGAACATCATTGACAATGGCACTTCCTTTCTCACTTGAGCAGTTGGAACATACATAACAATCTGGAAGGGTCTCAGTGCTGACCCTTTATTATCTAACATTACTATTGGTGTTAATAAAATAATAAATTAGTTTCCATTTGGTAGCCCTATCAATGTCATATTGTGTCATTATATATAATAATTTAAACACAAATTTTACTTTAAAATTGTGTACCAATATGTCCAACATTAAAGAGAATCATGTATTTGAGCTACGATTGTTACATTCAATATGTTTCTTCTTACTGGCTCTGTATTTCCTCAGAATGAAAGTTACTGTTCTATAGTTTACATCAAAGATCCGTTTCAACGTTGTCAGGAGAATTCTTTGGGGTGAATTTCACAATCTAAATCTGGGTGATATTGTAATCTGGAGAATAGAGTGCTTATCCTTTAAAATAAAAAAAGAGGCTTGACACCAATTATCTATGAAGAAATATCAGAGTTAACATTTCGGGTCCGGTGATCCTTCCTCAGAACACTGGACCCGAAACATTAACTCTGATTTTTCTTCACAGATGCTGCCAGACTTGCTGAGCTTTTCCAGCAACTTCCGTTTTTGTTCCTGGTTTACAGCATCTGCAGTTCTTTTGGTTTTTAGTTAACAACAATTATTCTAGCTTAAAGGATTTCAATGACAGATTTACAACAAGGTATTGTGGCATTCTCCCGAGTACTTTGAAATTCAAACTTTAGTTACATCCATTAAATGCTTCTTTCCTTTTGACAAAAAAAATTCAAAACTCAATTTAACAATTTTAAACAAATCTTTGTCCATAAAGGCAAATTAAATTAGGAAATAATTTCTGAATGTCACCTTAATCTTTAAAAACCCAAAGGAAGACCCAAAGCAGTAGCATGTACTTATCTCCTACCATTTCTTTTCAGTCTATTGTGATGAGTTTGATTGTGACTGTCTTTTGTTAAAGAAGGATCTTCTGCCTAAATTGAAGTACATTGAGGTTATTTGATTGCACAGTTCTGTCTAGAATACACGAAATTCACTCAAAAATTTTAAAAAAGTCAAAAAGGTGAAAACACATTGATGTTCCCACCAAAATGCAGAAAATTAGCATGCAGGTGCAGCAAGCAATCAGCAAGCTAATTGCATGCCATTTTCCTTCTTTTCTTTCTTAGGTTGTGTAAATCACTGGCAGCAGCAGTGTCGTCCATCCCCAGTTGTTGAATTGAATGGCTTGCTGGGCAATTTTAGAGGGCTGTTAAACGTCAGCCATATTGCAGTAGGTCTGGAGTCAGACATAGGCCAGGCCAGGTAAGCAGTTCCTTCCCTAAAGGATATTATTGAACCAGAAGGGGTTTTACAACAATCGATGATTGATGGATTTGCTTGAGATTGTATCTGGAACATTGTGTGCAATTTTTCATAGAATCCCTACAGTGTGGAAACAGGCTCTTCAGCCCAACAAGTCCACACTGTCCCTCAGATCATCCCACCCAGACCCATCCCTCATAACCCACCTAATCTACACATCCCTGAACGCTACGGGCAATTTAACACGGTCAATCTACCTAGCTTGCATATCTTTGGACTGTGGGAGGAAACCGGAGCACCCGGAGAAAACCCATGCAGACACAGGGAGAATGATCTGTATGTGCTAGGAAATATAGGTTTACATTAGAAGGGGTATTCGAAGATTCACTAGATTAGTCCTTGGGATAGAGTTTTATGATGATGGACTGAGTAAATGTATGTGTATTCTCTAATGATTAGTAAAGTAGGAGGTGATCTCATTGAAAATATGATACACTGATGGGGTTTGATCAGGTAGATGTTCAGAGATTATTTAAGCTTTCAAGGCATTTAAATAATGGATGCATAGTCTCATGCCATGAAGCCAATTATTTAGAGATTCATTGAAGAGAAATATTACTTTACTCAAAGGTTTATGAATCTTTGGAATTCTGTCCCCCAGAAAGTTGGGGAGTCTTCATTGTTAAATACAGATAAATCTAGAATAAGTTGATATTTAGTCTCTCAAGTATTCAAGGGATCGTATGAATAGTTGAAGCCTGAGATCAGCCATGATTGTACTGAATAGTAGAGCAGACTCTTTGGGCTGAATAGTCTCCTCCTGCTCTCATCTCATGTGTTCTTTGCTCTCTCAGATATCTGATGAAATTTAAAATTGAAGATGTCAAACAGTTGTGTATGGAGGGGAAACCTCTCGACATCAATAGTTTGGCAGCGGGTGCATCGTTTTCATTAACTGTGACTCATTTATTTGGCCAATGAGAGGAGTCTTAAGTTACTAAAGCTGGTCAGTTTATCACACTTAGCACAATGATGGTACCACAAGATACGAGTGTGTGAAGATGGAACTTTTTCTCCTAAATTATATGAATATTATTGTGTGACTGCAGATTGGTGAAGATGAGATTAAGTGTCTTTTCCTCCCTTGTTGGTCTTGTCCCACCTGCTAGAATCTAGCAGTGACGTCCTTTAGGAATCCATAAGCTCAGTATGTACTTTGGTTGCTGAGCCACTTTTATTCATGGATTTTGAAGTCCCTCACCCAGAATACATTTTGAGCTCTTGCCACCTTTACCAGTTCCTCCAAGTGGTGTTAATCATGGAGGAGTACTGATTCACCAGCCAAGCACAGTCAGCCAGAGATCAGCAGGAGGTTTTCTTGCCCATGTTTGACCTGATACTCTGAGACTTCATTGGGTCCGGAGTCAATGTTGAGGACCCCCATCATGACTGCACACCACTATGCCAAAGCCTCTGCTGGTGATGGTATTGTCTGCGACATTGTGGATAAGGTATGATTGCATGGGGGCATCACATTGCAACACACCATTGCTTACCAGTTTGTGGTTCCTGTCTCCCAGTTTTAGCCTAGCCCCATATTTGGGGAAGGAGGACTTTGCAGGTTTGATGGGCTTGAGTTTGGCATTGTCATCTCTGAAGCCAGGTAGTTCCTCCATTTCCTTTCCTTCACTAAGATGTCTGGAGTCATATGTAAGCCAGAGAAGATAAGCATGACAGTTTTACTGTCTTAAAGGGTGTTTGTGAACCAGCGATTCTTACAACCATCTGCCATGGTGGAATTCAAACTCAGGCCCCTAGAAAGTTAGTTGGGTTTCTGGATTACAAGTCTAGTGACAATACCACTTCGCCCTCACCTCCCCTGTTATGAAATGTGTGTGTGTGTGTGTGTGTGTGTGTGTGTGTGTGTGTGTGTG